ACCCTAACCCTAACCCTAACCCTAACCCTAACCCTAACCCTAACCCTAACCCTAACCCCTTAACCCTAACCCTAACCCTAACCCTAACCCTAACCCTAACCCTAACCCTAACCTGAGACTCGAAGTCAGCTCAAGCAAAAGCGTGCTGTCGACATGAGTGGCATTGTGACGCGGACGTCGAACGTCCAGCAGATGCCACACCCGTCAAAGAGATTGGACGTTGAGACCTCGAACAAAGTCGAATCATCATTGAGAATAAGGATTAAAGACGACTATGGAAGCAGCACCGAAAGGTCGCAACGCGATACAGTGGGCATGACAGTGCGCATGATACCAGCTCGAATTACCAACAAAGGCGACAGCATGCACCTAGCACGCGTGAAGCATCGAGAGCTGGTGAGTATGAAACTCGAGATGCTCTCACTGAGCAGAGAAAACGACAGGATCAAACCTGACGTGGGTGAAAGACCAAGTCTTTCCACCGTCCAGGGTCGTACCGCGAGGAGCATCGGCATGAAGATATTCATCATACTGGCAGCTCCAGGCATTTCCGAAAAGATGGTCAGGTTCGTCGAGAGTAACGACGACAGGGTTCCATTCGTGCCTTTCGGAGGCGTGGAAGGTGACTACCTTGAACCCTTTGTCGGGTGCGTCAAAGGTCTGGACAGCGCACGTGTCAGGCAGACCAGCGGTCCAGGACTGAAGCGAAGGAGCCAGTGTAGCCCTAAAGTGGACGGGCGAGTTGGGAGCAGACTCGGAAATGTCAAGAGCTTTGCCAGTGCCCCAGCCAAGGCGATGGGATTTGTGCACAACCTGAGCGCAAGTGTTGCCCGGCTCTTCGCCGACGTAATTGATGTTGCAGATGCTGTTCATGGCGCCTTTGACATGGCGACAGTCGATTGCGTTGTGACGCATGTTGATGTAGTGGTGTGTCTCACCGACATCCGAGTGGTACTTCTCTGCTTGGTTTGAAGTCGGAAGACCAAAACTAAACCATCAGCGCTGACAATCACTTGTAAGAAGTGTAGCAAGAAGAAGGACTCACCGGTCAGAATGACATCAGCAAAAGGGGCTTCAGCGTATTCAGTCACCGTTTTGTCGGACAAGTCGGCAGCAGAAAAGACCTCGACCTGGATGATGTTGGACTTAAAGGTCTGCATGCTGCACTGAAGAGCGGCTTCGGCAGCGCTCGAAAGCACGGTGGCTGCGACAACAAAGGCGACGGTGAGCTTGATCATCATGGAAGAGCGGAGCAAGGAGAACGGGGGGATGGCAGCAAGTTGGGAGTTGAAGATGTGTCAGCAGAGAGCGACGTGGTGAGCTCGGAGCAGGGCTTATATGCTTTTCCAAGGCTCGAAGGAGTTGTTTGCGCTTTCCCTGATAGGGCCTGCCGACACCGCCAGTGCTGCGTTTGCCGAGCAACCCATGCAGAAAGACTCGGCCCGGCCAAGCCCCACCGTCTTGGTGCACACGCCACTGTCGATCTCTGCTTCAGGGGCAAGCTGGCCTCAGCACCATGCCGAGAGGCGGCGTGTCAGGATCTTTTACTAGAGGTGTTGTGACGGTCCCACACAAGCACGAGCCCGCGAAATGAGGCTGTACGCATTTCGTGCCCACAACCCGGCACATGGGCCTGCCAAGTGGACACAGCTGTGGGCGGCAAAGCAGATGGGTCTTCACAAACCAGACGGTGTGGCGAGGAATGATACAACGGTCGGTGGTCCGGTGTGGGTGTGATCATATAAATTACAAAAAGCAAATACGAGATGTACGCTGGAGGGATTCCGCGTCCCTGAACCCACCAATGGGCCGTGCGGCTGTGAAGCTACGGACAGGCAAAGAAGCGAGAAGCACGTCTACATCATCGTGTCGGCAACAAAGGGAACCAGGCGCATTGCAGGCGATCATTTGATCTCGACAAGCTTGACATCAAAGACGAGCGTAGAGTTGGCAGGAATACCAGGAATCTTCTGGTTGCCGTAAGCAAGCTTGGGAGGGCAAGTGAGACGGCGCTCTGCACCGACACGCATGCCCTTGACACCCTCGTCCCAACCCTTGATGACTTCTCCTTTGCCAAGTTTGAAGTAGAAAGGCTTGCCGCTGGTGCACTGGTCAAAGACTTTCCCGTTTTGAAGCTTGCCGACGTAGCGCATGCCTACCTTCTGGCCCGACTTGCAAGGTGGGCCTGAGCCTGCGCTCTTTTCCTCGACGACAAGACCGGATGGAAGCTTGGTGGTGGTCATCTTGGACGTGGGCTTTTCCACCACCTTCTTTTCTACGATCTCTGTTTTGGGCTTGGCATCCTTGGAGCTCTTGGATTGCTTCTCGACCTTGGTCTCGGTGACTTTGGTAGGTGTAGATGCGGCCGAAGCGGCGGCAACAGCGTCAGCCTTGAGCTTCTTGGCAGCAGTCTCCTTGGCCGGTGTTTCGGCAACGCGCTTCTTGGACTCGGCGACAGGCGCGGCTGCAATAGCCTTCTTGGGATTCGAGCCGGCGGATTCCACCAGCTCTTCGAATCGATCAGTTCCTTCTTCCATATCATCGTCGTCGTCATCCTCGTCATCCTCATCATAGTCGTCCGAGTCGAGACCATACATATCTTCGTCGTCATCCTCATCATCAGAATAGAGTTCACTATCGGAGGGCTCCTGATCGAAGAAGTCGGGAGGTGCGACGTAGTTGCCCACGAGATCGACAGCAGCGTCGCCGGTAATCGAGAAGCCGATGAGTTCCTCCTGGCAGAACTGAAGGTCGACAACAGCGTGGTCCTTGCTGCTTCCATTGAGGCTGCAAAGAGTGTAGACCTTTTCTTCGATCTCATCCTCATCCTCTGGGTTTGTAGGTTCCGCTTCTTCGTCCTCATCGTAGTCATCCTCGAAGCCGGGGACGTGGGTGTAGTGGATCTTGACCAGCGTTTTTGTGTTGGACTTTGGCTGATCGCTGTACGAGACGTTGGTGATCTTGAAGTCGCGCGAGACGTCCATCCTGTGGACCTTGCCCGGAACGAGCTTGAGACCAAAGAAGCCGATGGGAGTAGCAGACATGTTGGCGAATCTAAGTGGTGCCGTGTGGTGGAATAGAAGAGAAGTATGTGCCACCGTCAAGAAGGGTTATCTCCTCGTTCTTCCTATTCTTCGGAAAAAATTCAAGGCAAAGTCAAAAATGTGGATTTTTCGAAGTGGAAGTTGCTCGATGTTCGGATCGCGGGTGTTCAAATCGGGCACACCCGAATCGGTGATGCACAGCTCGCGGCCCGAACGTGAAAGAGCGTCTCGACTATGTGTACATCCATGTATGACATCGCCCGTCAAAGGTAGCTGCGCATCGTCGGATGTTGCCAACCGAGAAGCTGCAGTGTTGCGGAGGCAATGATTGTACACCACGCTTCTGCCAACACGCACATGCCGTGAAGGAGTTCGAAAGCGACCAGACAATGAGCGTGCGACTCGCCGGTAAACTCGAATCAGCTGCCGCATCTCGGATCGAGACCGTGCAGACGCAGGAAGCGTCGCGAGAGTGTGCCAGAGGACTGTTGATCGCGCCTCTGCATGAAGGTGAGCTACAGCAGCCGTATTTGTGGAAGCGGCCGCATCTGTCTCGCCAACGACCAAGCGAATCTGCAGCGGTACAGTTCGATGTGCAAAAAGTGTCTTTTGTTTGGCGGCAGTTTGAGACCGCGCCATTGTTTAGACGATGCGCCAAATTGTTCGCATTGTTGGAAGGGTCGCTTTCAATTGGCTCCATGACACCCTGGCATCATCACAGTGCGAACCGCTGGAATCTCTAGGGGGGCACACTTTCAATTTACTCGGCTGCCGTACCATCGATCCTGTACACCCAATCGTTTCACGCTGCTTCATACGGTACGTGCAAAAGGAAGCGCTCATCTCGCTTCCGCATGCTCTCAAGCGCAATGGCAGATCACATGGTTAGCAAACAAATAAGTCAGGATCAAGGTGATTGGGTCCTTGACACGCCTCCATGGTCGCAACGTCTCTGATGCCTGCCCACGACAAAAGAACCACGAATCCTCGCAGAAGCCAAATTCTATTGTTACTCGCTTGCTTGCCGCTGCATTGCAACATGCGTTCGACTTGATCTCGGGCTAGTAAGCAATGACATCCGTCCTGACACCTTGAGTTTGTCCGTTCTGCATTCAGACGCACCCTGAGCAGCTACAGCAAGCGTCCAAGATGTGCAAAGACATATAATAGGTGAGGACGAACAGTGTCGCAGAGCCTATTTCCCATTCCTTTGCCCCCTTTTCAAAACTTCCCCTCCCTTTTCCTTCCTTCTGGCCACCGTCGTTGACGTGATCCATCTCTCAACAACACCTGGCTTCTTCGCTCACTCGCTGCCGCAGCCTCCTCCAGCTCCACCACATCTCGGTGCCACCGATTCTTGTGCATGTACACAATCACCACTTAGCAAGCCTGTCATTGCGCTTTTCTTTAGCCCCTAGTCGCTCGAATTCCTCGGTTGCAGAATCGCGTGGTTGAAATCCCTCCAGATGAGCGCCAGCTACAACCCCAATGTGCCTCCTGGCGCCGATCCTCAGATCATCTTCAATGTCCTTCCGCCCTCGTCCGGCAGGGCGTACGAGATACTGCTCATCATCATGTGTCTTTGCCTCGGCGCACTCATCATGGAGCTGCTCAATCACCTTCGCTTTGATCTTCGCCTCATGCGCAAGTCCGGTTGGACGGATCCGGCCAAGCTCATCTCGCGTCTCGCCTACTTTGTCTGTCGTTACTTGTCGATCACCATATTGATCTTGATCATCTGCTTCATCACGCTCGAGTCCGACAACTGCACAGCGCTACCTATGACGTTCAACATCATGGGTATGTTCCTTCTAGATGCAGTGCTGCTGGTCTTTGTCCAGCGCACCATGGCACTGTACAATTGGTCGCACAGCGTCACCATCCCTTTGTCGGTCTTTTACTGCATCGTTGTCGTTTCCTCGGTAGTCTGCACCCCTTTCTACGGCGTCGGATTTCGTATCCCGCACACCGGGTTCTGTGGATATGACACGAGGAGCTACCTCACACGCACTATCGTGGCAAATGTCATCTTCAGGGCACTTGCCATCTCCCTGGATACCGTGTTGCTTCTGCTCACCCTGCACCGCCTGCTCGATGGAGGCCTCAAGGCTGTATGGCACAAGAAACCTCAACAACTTTTCTCAAGCTTACATGACAGCAGTCTTTCGGGCTTCTTGATTCGTCAAGGTTTGCACTTCTTCGTGCTGCAACTCGGTACCGACATCTTTTTCATCACCACCTACTTCAGCTTCACCGAAAATGCCTACAAGGATCTCGGCACCGCCTTTGCGTTCTCAATCCCTCCCATTGTCGCTGCTGCGGCTTTCAGAGAGATGGGCAAGAAGGCTTCGATGGTCACAGCCAAGAAGGCAAAAAAAGTCAACGAGATCATCAACTCTGCCGACACACCATCAGGTGGTATTTCGGTACGTCTCGGTACAGTTGGAGCAAGAATCTCGGCTGTCGAGCCCAGCGCTAGGGTTCCCACGGTTCTGGCTGAGCCCGGTTCACCTACCGGTGTCAACGCTTTTGTCCTGCAAGCTCGCTCCAATCCGAGTTTCAGCGGCTCTCCTTCTCCTGGGAAAATATCTAGCTCGCGAGTTTCGTGGACGGCAGGACGAAAGAGCATCAATCGCTTCCGACCCGATGCCATTGCGGCGGAGGATAGTGGTGTGCTCATCACCGTCGGCGCGGTCTCGCGCATTGATGATGCTGATCAGGAATGGGAGGCAGGTTCGCCGCGCTACTCTTCTGACAACAACGATCCGGACGCCATCGAAATAAGACGTCAATGGCCAAACCTAGCAGCGCAAGACGCTGCTGGATCTGAGGCAGTCGCTCAGTCTTACGATGGTGACGACGTTAAGGAGAAAGACCTGGAACTCGGCGACAGTGGCTTAGAGAGCCTGCACATACCGAATCTGCCCAGCTTTCAGACGGTGGCGGGCAACCCTGACCTTACGCATCTGTACGGCAGCAGCATCGGAAGCTCTTCGACCTCCTGGCAGCCTTCTTCGCCCGACAGTCCTTATGCACCAGCACTTCTCTCGCCTAGCGCATTTTCTCGAAGGCTTCCTCCATCTACATCAAACGCGCCGAGTAGCAGAGCCTCCTTTAGAGTGGTAGAGGAAGAAGAGATCGGACGTGCCTCTGATACCCAATGATTAACAAGGCTTGCTTCAGACTCGTATTGATCAAATGAGAGCGTGCCCTTTTAACAGAGTAACAATCTCTCTAAACTTGCAATCGACCCTCGTCTGAGATTTTGCGTCACGGATTTCTAGCGTCTAGCCTGTTCCTTGCTTCAGCCGAAGCAGTTCCGTGTTTCTGAAAGTGTCAGTTCGACGCAATAGTCTGTCTGCGCACCGGCAAAAACCGGAGTGAAACTGGAAAGTTTCATTGCTCGGATCCCATGGTGTCGACCGTCGGCAAGAGTGGGGTATGAAACGAAGAGTGATGTTTGGCCTTTGCACACTCGGTCGGGCGAGTGGATTCGGCGAGAGAGTCAGGGATCATCGCAGTATTGCGCTTCTTTCTGCACTTGGCCACCTGTATCGACGAAACGCATTCCCTTCTACTTGAAACTTTGTCGCATGGAAGACGGCTTCAAAATACAGGAAAGAAATTCAACGTCGGGGGTTTCTGATTATTATAAAATGTGGCCGCAAAAATAGAGGTCTTTGCAAAAGAAATTGCAACCATGCTTCGCCATCAAGCGTCTTCTTCCATCTTGACTTCCGGTATTGACTGCCTTTCCGTTGGCAGTCGGACACGAGGAACAGAGAGCATGTCGCTAGCAACATTAAGAATGGACTGAAGACGACGCTCGCATCTCGCCTGTGCCGATTTGCACTCTTCCGCCCGTACCTCGGAAGTGGGGAGTTTGGTGATGGCAGTCAGCTCGAGCATGTGTTTGAGGACATTGCGCAGCAATCTCAGGGCTGCTAGCTTCTCAATGTTGAGAGAATCGGTGGAAATACGAGATATTGAGGCGGCTGCTAGAAGATGGTGGGCGAAACGGCGGTAGCGGCGAAGTTGGCGCGGTGGAGGAACGTCGACGAGAGAGAGCAGCTTGGCAGCGCATTCCACTACGTATGTAAAGGTCTCTTGAGACGTCAATTGACCTTCCAGAGCAGCAAAGTTGTCGACGGTGTCGAATTCGTTTAGTATTGTGGAACTACATGAGCTGGGCTGATGATTGGCTTCGGCCGACGGAAAGAAGAGCGTTGATTCGGTGTCTGTCGCTGGTTCGCGTTTTTGGCAACACTGGACATGTTCAGCCTTGACGGTCCCAGGAGACACACTAAATCTGCTTCGCACGCCGTCTCGTATTGTCTTTCCGGTTGGATCGTCCGCTTCTCTTTCCTGCTTGACCGTCAGCGTGTCCGTCTCCGGTACATCAGAGGTCGATGAGGGATGTTTTGGCGAGCTAGCTGCGTCTGCATGCGTACCCGGAAGTGGTTCCTGGACGGCAAATGAGACGCGAAGCCCTGCCATGCTTTTGCTGCTGGTAGACCAGATGCCATTTCGAAGATGCTTCCGCTTCAGAATGCCTTGGCGCGCTGGCTTCGACCCCAGTGGCCTGGGCCTTTGTTCCTCTGCTGGCTCTCCGAGCAGTTCTTGTTCGTCACGCAACGCTGCAACAGGAAGCAAATCTGAGCCAGTCGACGACGAGCGCGCTTCGGAGGCCATTTCAAGTTCGTTTGACTCGCCAATCGCAGTGAATGATGGCGGAGGTGGTGGTCGGTAGATGGTCTTGGGTCGTGCTCCGATGCATCTTTCCGGCCGTCGGAAGGCGAGCTGCTCCGACAGATCAGCTCCGTTGACCGAGAACGTGGGCACGTCGTCGACGTTGGCGCTCTTGATTTGCAAGCGTGGCTGCGATGCAGACATCCGCATGGCTACAGCGACCGGGTAGAGAGGCGGTGTATCTTGAAGAGGGAGGATAGCCAAAGGACTCAAGAGTGCCGCCTGTTCAATCTATATACTCTTTGAGCCTGCAGGCGCAAAGAAGAATGAACGCGTGAGAGCCAGCGTCCAACCACTGGACCGCACGCACCTCTGCATTTGCCTCCATTGCTGATGAATTCAGGACGGCTCATTCGCACAAGATCAAAGGAGAAAGCATGCAAAGGGACTGCTACACACACACTTCTGTCGCAACACATGCAGTCTGGTGGGTCTAAGCTCATGCATCAATGAACCGAAACCGCCATTTCTATTGTTCCCTCCCAGCGTGGTCGCTGCTCGAGATCTGTCACACAAAGGGAACAGGCGTGAGAAATCTCAATTTGACGTGGAAATTATAACTTTCTCGACGACTTCGACGACCCTGCATAGCTAGACAAGCCAAGCAACATTGGACCGACTAAGCTTCTTTCGACCTTCATCGACGAAATGACCGACATGCATCTATCAAAGAGGGTTTCGCATGTCACAAGAGCAGCTACCTGCCTGGCACCTCTCTCGTCGAGGTTTTCGGTTCCGCGCGCATATTGGCACTTGACGAGGATTCTCCGCAGGTAATCCAGCGGTTGGGCTAGGGTCCATGTTGTCGTTTCCCGGTCAACAATTGCCGCGTGATTGGGATTGACCACCCTGGTCAGCTCAATGACGAGCTCATCAACAGCTGACTCGATGACGAGTAGTCCGGCATTGTCGGGCGCTTGCGTCAGTCGACGTTGGCATCGTTGGATGGCCACCGCTATGTCGTTGATGAGCAGTAAAGTGTTGACCCGCGCTCTTGTCAGATGTATCAAGGTGGAAGTGTGTGCTTCTGCAACTGAGCTCGACTCGATTGCGTTCTCCTCAATCCCATCGCCGCCTTCCTCTGCGTCCGGCTCTTGTGCCTGCTCTGCCGAGCTGCAAAGGATCCCGGCCACGGAGCAAGACCCCTCTGAATCGGCTTGGGAAATCAGACCGTTGTTGGAAGCACTGGCATTGGAGAGATGTTCCTGGTCAGAATGAGGTGGAGAGCTGAGCTCGGATTGATACCTTGTCGTTCTTGCCTGTTCAGCCGCCGGTTTTTTTGGCCCGCCCCTTTTTCTGCGCTTACGAGTCGGCTTTGGCTGCTGGGGAAGGGGAGTTACGAGCACCGGCGTGTGTGGCGGAGGCCTCACTGCTCGTTCGCTCGTCCGCCGTTGAGAAGTGCTTGTAGACGCAGTGATCGGCGTAGAATGCTCCTGCTTCGTAAACGCAGGGAAACGTGAGTCAGAAGACAGCTCAATCGTCGATGCAGTCTGTTTCCCCGTAGTCACGTCTGACTTTCGTTTCCTCGGAGCTGGGGTAGATTTCCGATTGACCCTAATGTTGCTGACTGTGCAGGTCCAGTGACGGATGTAGCAATTGTAGCACGACGTGCTGCGCAGCAGGGACCCGGCGGAAGTATAGCAACGTTTGTTGTGCTGCTTGCAACAGTCACATTCGTCGAGCCAATCGACGTCGAATTGATACTTTGCCCCTTCACCGAATCGTTTTGCTAGAAGCATGCTCGAACGGCTTGAACTAAGGTTGGCGTCGTGTCGCGTACCTCTCGCCATGACCTCGAATTCGGTAGCTGCCAATGAGAGTTCCGCATCTTGGCCAAGAATGGGAAGGGGATCGGGAGAGGGCGACGGCCGGACCATGGCTCGCCGTCGGGCTCGCCGAACTTCGAGAGGACCCTCGCTCTCTTCGGAAGCGGAGGCATATCCTGTCTGGGCAGGCTGAGCTGGCTGGTCCTTCGCGATGGTCAATGCCTCTGTGGAGAGTGACTGTTGCAAAGCGTCCCTAGCATCCTGCTGCATTGAGCTCTCGGAGGTGCTAGATGGCAAGCGTTTGATGCTGATCTGGGACGTGGCAGCCGACAGACCTTGTTGTAACTGCAAGCTAGACGGTGAATGGATCGGCGCCATGGCTGGCTGTGGCGGCCGTGTGATGGGAGATTCCATGTGCTGAGCAAAGCTCGAGTCTGCTAGAGCGTGGGACTGCTCCGTCGTGCTCCAGCTTCTGGGGCTAGTAAAGTCAAAGTGTGTATGGTCGTGGAGATGCAGAGCGGCGGGGCTACGTGGCAGTTCGCCGTCCTCCAGGGAAGAAGACGGCGCCCTTGAACGAAAGCGCGGGCTGTGTGTGGATGTCAGCGACATCATGCTGGTGTTGATAAGCAGGGAGCCTTTTCTGCTCCCCAGTGAGGCATGGACGACTCAATGATGAGGGCGGCAAAGGTAGGTGAAAAGATCGTCGAGGTGCAAGAGCGGCGTGCGGCTCAGGTGCTCGAGCCCCTTTTGAAGACTCTCCCAGCCGTGCTTGCGTTGGGCGACGAGTGACTTGCAAGAACAATAGAGCGCTGCTGCATGCATGCGTGTCGATCAAGGGTAATTTTATAAGATCACAATGTGTCAAGCCTCTAATCAGGCCATGCAGCTTCCTTTCACCTCGAATCGCAAGACCCGACAGCTGGCTCCCACATGTCTTCCAGCCAAGCCAAGCCAAGCTAGCCTTCTCGCACTTCAGCCCAGTCGTCGATTCGGGCGTCTGCTGATGGTGCCGCTCCCCTCTGCCATTCGAGAGTCGACATGGGCAGTCCCCTCACGTGCTGATGCACTCCATTCGTCTGTGCGTTGATCCGAAAGCTCAACTTCGGGACGCGACCAGCTCGCGATATGAAGTCGAAAAAATAGACGGGTGGCGACTCGAAGTGTGCTGCTGCTGCGCTGCAGTCGCACCTTTGACATGCAGCTGCCTTTTTCCGCTCATCGATTGAGACCATACGGGAGGGCGTCCTCCTTTCTGAGCTTCCACCATCATCATTTGCGTTTAACACACTGTCAACGGCCAAGCGAGTCATTCCAGCCGACAATCATCACTATCATGTCTTCGCCCTCGGTGCATGCTGGGATCGGCCCGAGGTCGCGCTCGAGATCGTCGGACGAACCCTTTGTGGCACCTGACCAGCTTCTGAGGGACGCCACTCAAACGGACCTAGCTTGCTGCGCGTCGCCTTCGCCTCAAGATCCGAGCAATGCCAAAGCACAGCTTGTTCTCCGCGACTGTCCACCAAAGAAATCACCAGCTCGCAGTCAGGACAACAGAGCTAATGATCCACACAGTGTACCGCACCAGGTCGTACTCTACCTTGTAGGCGATCAAAATGAGGAAGATAACCGAGACATGCATCGTCCCTCAAGCTCTCCCACGCGTGCCATCGTCGACTGGCTCGCTACTGCCGGTTCAGCAGCGAATGAAGCCTCGAGTCAGGATCGACGCACCAATTCGCGTTCTCTGTCATCCCAGCCCTGCAGTCGTAAGGCTAAAGCTCCTGCTGCTCTGCCACCAAGTCCGTTAAGCAGCGTTCTTGAGGCCTTTGTTGATGAGATGCTTGGGCCAGAGTTTGCAAGGAAGGAGGAGCCTCCTGTCTCGACAAAATACAAATGCAAAGGTACAGCTGCAACGGCAGCTGCCAATAACACAGCAAAGTGCGATCGGTGTAGATCACGCAAACTCAAATGCGTTGTACTGTCAAAGACGGGAGCAAGTTGCAGCAATTGCCGTCGAACACACGTAGCCTGCACTAGGAATCGATTGCGCGTGAGAGGTAATCAGACACCGGTGCCTCGCCCTCTCAGCAAGAAGGGCCCCGCAACAACGTTCCACTCTTCGCAGAACAGTGTCAACGAGTCTCCCCAGAATGCCGGTGAGGGTCGAACCACAAGATCCAGTGCGGGTCTCAAGATGCAAATCAAGAGCGACAGCATCGACGACGACGGAATTCCAAGCAGCACGAAACGCAAGAAGTCTTCCCCCGATCCGCAACCCTCGACGTCGTCGCAAATCTCAAACAGGAATCGGCCTGCCTCTGCTTCCGCTCCGGACCCAGCCAAAAAGGAGCTCGATGGCTACACCGTCGGCCTCCTCAAGGACGTGATGCATGCGCTCGAGCGCGTCAAGGGTTCTCTTGGAGAATCTACAGCCTTGCCGGCGCTCGTACCCACCCTAACTTCGCTCGAGGAGGGTTTTGATTCGATGCCCAGGCTTGTCTCTGAGCCATTGCTCTCAACAGTGTGTACTATGCTTCAGCGCATCATGGTGCAATGCCTCAGGAAGGCGAAGCTTCAAGATCAAGTCGAGGTCAAAAGCGCTGTATGGTACACGCAGAGTCTGGTCGACCGGACGCTGTCCTGCATCAAAATGCTGATCGACATCGAGTGAACTGGAAGCCGCACCTCCTAGGATAACAGTCGCACCCGCGAAAGAGGAGGTATCTTGCACCGAAAGACACGTTAACATATCTTGCTTACCAGAGACGCCGATGAAATTCGACTACCTTTCCTTGCTTCGTGGCAGCCGGCCATGGCTGTGCAATCAGAATGCCCACATTTTGAGGAGGGGGGGACAAGACCAGCATCTCAAGCGGCATCGCGCATCGCGGTCTGGAGCGTTAAAAATGTTAAATAGTTGCATTCCTTTCGAAGGTATGTGTATGAAGCTAGTCTAGAAGTCGGGTTCGGAGGATGTACGTGAATCTAGTACATCGTCGATTTACTGTTTCTGGTCCTTCTCGCCACCGTGTTCGGGTTCTTTGCGCTGCATGACGGCGTCGGTGGCAAACTTGGCACCCTCCGCAGTCGAGGTGTCACAAGGAGTGGCACCGTGACCAATCTGGTTGAGTTGTACGACGCACGCGCCAATCTCGATCTGTCGGGGCAGATCCGGGTGGACATCTCTCGCCTTGTCTTGCTGGCCGCTGAGCAAGCTCTTGACGAGGTGGGGCTCACCGCAAAGAGGTCTGGCCAGACCGACAATGTCGCACGACTTTTCGTCGACGGCTTTGGCCATGGCCTTAGCGGAGCGGAAACCTCCAGTGACGGCGAGACGTGCAGTTGTGAGGTTGGGTCGGATGCGCTCGGCAAACTCGATGAAGAACGACTCTCGGGCGATGGTGGACTCCTTCTTGTGCTCAAATCCGCTGCTCTCGTAGGTACCGCCAGAGAGCTCGATGAGGTCGACGCCGGCAGCCTCGAGCTTCTTGGACATGGTGAACGACTCTTCGGGGTCGAAGCCACCATCTGCAAAGTCGGCCGAGTTGATCTTGATCGAGATGATGAACTTGGGATCGGGGACGGCCTTGCGGATGCTCTCGATGATCTCGAATACGATGCGCGAACGGCCTTCGAGATCTCCACCGTACTGGTCGGTACGCTTGTTGACACGGGGCGAAAGGAACTGGGACAGAAGGTAGCCGTGGGCGGCGTGGAGCTCGATGCCGTTGCACTTGGCTTCGTAGAGGACCTTGGCGGCGAAGCCGAAGCGGCGAGCAATGTCGTGGATCTCGTCGACGGTCAAGGGGCGGGGCTTGCCGAAAGTCATGCCCATGCCAGGAGGGCACTGTACGTCGGACGAAGAGACGGGGGTGGGGGCAACTTCATCCGAGGTTTGACGACCGGCGTGGGTGACCTGACCAATGACGATCGAGCCGTGTGCAGCGGCAGCATCGATGACGGGCTTGTAGGCCTTGACGTACTCGTCGTGCGAAGCGATCTCAGGGTCGATGCATGCGTTCTTCTTGGCTTCCGGGTAGCGAGCATCGCAAGGGATGTTGCCAAGAATGATGGTGCCGATCTCTCCCTCACCCCAGGTCTTGTAGAGGTTGATGTATTCGGGCGTGGGCCAGCCACGCTTCTTGAAGTCGTCGTCGGACCAAGTGCACAGACGCTCTGTCATGGCGCTCTTGAGCGTAGCATTGGGAGCCGAGAGACCGTTGTTGAAGACGACAGGCTTCTTGAGGACTTCGAGGTGCGACATGATGGCTGATGGATGTATTGAGGGATGTTTAGTGTGGGATGGACACGGGCAACTCAGGTGTTAAATATCGCAAGCCAGTGTTGGGTGACTTGGGTGACCGTGAGACTCGGATTTAAGCTCGGTGAAGCACAGAACGGCGGCGGCCACCTTCACAACTTTCTTCTAATTCTAAAAAAGGTGGAGGGTACGTAGCCTCTCCTCGCCTCGCTGCCGGGCCGACTTTAGTCGGGCACGGATCGCCGTTAGGCCCTCAGATGTACATTGTCTCGCTTTGCAGAGGGTGCGACATGCGTGTGCGTTGAACGCTTATGCCAGCGAAGGCCGGAATGTGGCAGAACCAAAAGCAGCACAAGAAACTTTGCCTTCCGAGTTTGCATTGCCGAGGTGTACCGTTGAGTTGTGGCGGTACGGTGGTCCCCTCTAGAAAGCATCGTGCCGACCTTTGCCGCTTCGCTCATCCGGAAAGTTAGATCCCTCGTGCGAGCCTGCTTCATCGCCTTTCTCACAGTGATCGCTGGTGCGTGATACACTGTGACAGCGAATGTCTCGATGCTGCTTGCGGCTGAGTTTGAGACGGTAGATGTCAGTCAGCACTGGGTGATGACGTGCGCTGTGCTACTCCGAGAATTTCTTATTTTCGACTCATGCGCCATTACGCCGTTTGCAGCTCGAAAATCGCGGTTCGCCAGTAAAAACAGCATTGGAAATCGGCTGAATCGGAAAGTCGATCGGGTAGGCCGATTAGCGGGGAGACTGACCGAGGCGGCCGACCAAGACGCCGAGCAGGTTTGTGTCCCTGGTGGCCTTCCCGCTCGCGTGTCGTTCCCGTTTATCTGCTCGATGAGCACTTCTACTCCATCGGTCACCCTTCTGACTGTAGCAACATTCCAAACCCTAACAGACTGACCGACAACAGAAGGCAACATGGCATATGGATACGTACCAAGACCAGCCGGCTCGGATCCCAGCACGCTTCGGCCTCGTCTCTATGCGCTTCCGGCACGGGCGCAGACACAGCAACGTCAAGGCGTCGTCATCGTCCCCTTCAACGCCGATGGTGTCCAACAAGCGGACTACTCATTCGCCAGTCGTGGCAAGACACTGCAACCCCCACCAGCGCTGATGGAGTACTTGGCCAAGGTGTTCAACGACGAGCTCGAGCGCGGCGTAACTTATCCTCAACGTGCGCCAATGGAGCTGGCAGAGTTTCAAGGCTACTTTTTGGGGTACGACCTACTTGTTGGACTGTTTCTGTCCGCTCAAGAGCAGGCAAAGATCACGAGTGCAGACGTTCCTGAGGACGGCGTGGAGCTCGATGACGTGAGCCGACTCCCTGATTTGTCACAGCTCGACTACGACCGGCAAGTGGCCGGATTCTACTACATCAAGCCCAACTATCCGGGTCGATCGTCGCATCTGTGCAATGCAGGCTTCGTGGTACCTCCCGCAGGAAGAGGTTTCGGGCTTGGTGGCGTGCTCGGTCGGTCGTTCTTGCACTATGGCCCGCGAGCGGGGTACAAGGGATCCGTCTTCAATCTGGTCTACGTCAACAACATGGCGAGCGTCAAAATCTGGCAGAGGCTCGGATTCACCATCGTGGGGAGATTGCCTATGGCAGGTCTACTCAAGACAGAAGATGGCGGAGAAGAGCTCACCGACGCCTACATCATCTTCAAGGACTTTACAGGCACAGTACAGCATGGTCAAACCGCAGAGCCGAAGGCGCTTCCAACTCAGACGGGCGATGGAACCCGCGATGCGTTCAAATAGAATCATGGTTGGCACTTGCCTTGCCGTCCTTAGGGTCTACAGAACGAGCATCGTCGATCAGATAAAGCGGCCCTCGACTAGAAACATGAGGATCGGAACAGTAGCAATCCACAATATCTTCCTAACTAAGCAGACGGATCTCGCCTGTAACCTCTTAGTTTGACGCGTCATTGAACTCGTGCAGTCAATCGAACGATGTGGAAACATGGTATCATTTGATGGATGCTTGAGCATGGACAAAGGTGAGAAAAGATATAGCACCGAGCTGTGCAGTTCAACGAAGATGGAAGATTGCGGCAGGCAGGCTGGCTTGGGCTCCCCTACTTGACAGCCATAGATGGAATAAGCCTCCCGTGGTCTGTCCGCCTTATCAGCTGATGGATGGGATACCGGAGGGAGTGTGCTGTGCTATTGCACGCGACGGGCTGCTCAATACTTGAAGATGATGTAGAGAGCGTGGATGATACCCGGCAGGTAACCAAGGATGGTCAACAGGACGTTGATCCAGAAGTCACTGTTGGTGTGTTAAGAAAAGGAGAGATATGGGCAATGTCAGTGGGCGATTTCAATCAGAAAAGCAACTTTGCTTAGTCGAGACCATCGCTGGCTATTCAGCAATGTGATTTGACGTCGGCAAGTGTCGGGATGTGTATACGTACGCTCCGCACCCTCGCTCAAGGAAGACACCAAGAGGTGGGAGGAAGATGGCCAGGATGATCTTGATAATGTCGCTGCAAGTGAAAGGCATTTTGAGCTATGATGGATCGATTGATGCGGATATCGACGTTGAATGGATGGATGGATTACGAGCGTGGAACGCGGTTCGAACTGAACGTATATATAGCTCAACGCTAGATGATGAACCGCCAGACGTGGGACTTTTGCTCCTATGAAAAAGGAAAAAAGCAAGAGAGCGGATGGGCAGTCAATCCAGCTTCGTCTCATGCGTCGAGCCTAAGAAAGCAACTTGGGCAATTCATCTCCAGAAATGACTGACTGGTGACGTTGCCGTTGACAGCCTGAGTCGACTCAGACCGACTCGACGGAACACTGAGGCCGTGCGTACATCGACGTCATCTCAACACTCAACGCCTCGACCTACCCGAGCGCGATTCACAGTCGCCTGGTGCCGAGGCTGTTGTTCAACTTCCTCAGGGTCTCCCGCCGCGCCTCCGTCGCGTCACAAATCGGAAAATGTGCCGATGCTGTGCTGCGCTGTTTCAACGACACTGCATCGTCGGATCGCTTCGCACCGCCCTACTGCAACCGCTGCTTGACCAAGCGCACCAGACGGTCCGTGGCGGCCCTGCGCTGCTGTTGTCTGGCTCTACCAAGCTCGTCTAGGATTGCGCTGTCCAGTCCGCCGGCTCACAGGATAGCTCTCGTGTCTGTACCGTGCGTTCATCAGTGGCGACGCCACAGGAACAGCGTCACAAGACGACCTTGGTTGAAACAGCATCGAGACGTCTCGAGCTGGACCATGACACCTCTGCTTGTGTGTTGGTAAAGTTGCTAGGAGCCAAGCTTCTCAAGCCGGCTAGTTATTTTTTCTTGGCTTTTCCGGGACTGAGTTGTGTCAAATGTGCACAGGCTGTGCAGACGGGACTGCCGTTTCTTGCTCCACATACTACCCCTGGATCGACGCATAGCAGCGACCTGCTGAAACCCGAAAGCAGCTTTATTTTCAGCTCGGCTCCGGCTCGCGCTCCTTCCGGTCGACTCGGCAGCCGCAACGCGCCAAGACCCCACAATCTGGAACTGAACCTTTTCAGCATTTGGCCTACCTGGCTCCTCTGTGCCACGAGGCATACAGCAGGTCGAAGCGAATGGGTCGTACCCGTCGAGAAGCACAGCCGACCTCAGCGAGTGGAGGCGAGAACATGTCGGTTCTGAGCATCGACACCGTTGTCGTGCTCTTCAAGTGGACCCTTTTGAATCCCTTGCTCAGCATCGCATACCTGGCCGCCCTCGGATGCGATCGTTACACGTGCAAATCTTCCAACGAATGGGTTCAGCATGGTCTGCGCGCTGCCAAGCACCTCTTGGTGGCTGATGCATCTCAACGGACATCAATAGGAGTCGCTGCCATCGTCGTGCTACTGGGTTGGTCGCTCGTGCTCTCCTCGCACCTCTGGTACAACCGCGTATACCTTCGTCCAATTCGGCGAAATCAATGGAAGGATCAGCTCGTCCTCATCACCGGCGGTGCATCCGGTATCGGGTATCGCACAGCCATGCGCTTCGCGTCCAAGGGCGCAAGAGTCGTGGTCATAGATATACGCAAGCTTCCAGATCCGCAAGCTTCGTCATTGTCATCACGTGGTCCGAACGAAGCAGCCGCACGCCAGAACATCTCTGCCTACATTTGCGATCTCGCTAGCGAAGATGCTCTCACCAAGGTGCTCAAGTCCATCTTGGCCATACACGGCACGCCCACCGTTGTCATCAACAACGCAGGCTTCACCCACTCGCAGCCCATCACGCGCCTGTCGGCATCTCAGATCTCGCGACTCATCCATGTCAACCTCACCTCGCACCTCTGGATTCTCCAACACCTGCTTCCGCACATGATTCAGAGCGCAAGGGCAGATGGAAGGAGCTCTCACATTGTCTCGACCGCGTCCGTCATGGGACACACAGGGGTTTCACAGATGATCGACTACTGCGCCTCGAAGCACGGCGTCGTCGGCCTGCACAAGGCGCTGAGGTACGAGCTGGATTACTGCCACCGATGTCCGCAGATCCGTACAACGCTGCTTGTGCTCGGTCACGTCAAGACGCAGCTATTCGACGGCTTGCCTACCAACATTCTGGCACGCTTTCTGGGTCCTGTGGTCCATCCAGATGCGGTCGCAAAGCGCATCGTGACGGCAGTCGAGAAGAGGCGAGGCGGAACAATAGCCATGCCATGGTACGCCAACTGGTCAGAGGTGTTTGCTCTTCTACCGAGCTGGGCCACCGACCTGGCCCACTGGCTGTTGGCATCCAATTCCAGCATGGACGGTATGAACAGGGCGCGTCAAAAGCAATCATAGCTTCAAACAGCAGTAATGAGATGCAAACGACCGTGTAGCTTGTGTCAAAGCATGGAAAAGAGTGTGCAACGTTCAGCCAGCTTGTCCGACCAGCTCGTACCACGACTTGCCGCCGTATGCTTTCCGCACAAAGACGAGCCGCTTCAGAAGATCGACCAGCCTGTGCGCGGTGATAAAGACGGGCTCGTTCGAGGATCGCTCCACCATGACACATTCTTTGCGCACAGTGCTGGGAGCCGACGTCGCAGACTGTACCAACGACGACTCGACGGCAAAGGGGAGGGTGATGGCGGCCCTTGTGAAGTGGAATCTTACGAGCATGTCCTCAAATCGAGCACCGTTAGAACCCTGATCTGAGCTGCTTAGCACTTTGCCAATCTCGTCTTCCATGTACGTTTGTGGCTGGAGCCATTTGAAGAGATCTTGCGACACTTGTCTCTGGTCGGATTCGAGATCGTCGTTGATGAGCAGCAGCGAGGATCGAGTGGCAAGGTGGCGTCGGTTGATGCGGTACGAGATGTAGTGGTCCAGTACACGCATCTCGCGGCATGGTAGATCCAAGTTGGAGCGCGTGAGGTTGGTCGAATAGACGGTAGCCGAGATGGCCTTGAGGTACTCGGGAAAGTACATGGGTCGAAGGAGCGACATGGACACCGAGTACAAGAGCCGAGATACGAGTCTGACGTTGTAAAGCACTTCGAGCAGCGCTGTGGCCGATTCTTCCTCCTTGTCGAGGTCGTCGGCTGCATCTGTTTGTACGGGAGCGAGAAAGGCCGTAAGGACGATCTGCCAAGCGATGTAGCGTGGCGCAATGTCAGAGCGTCCATGTGCTGCCGCCTCGGAGCTGGATTCCGACGTACTGGCGAGGTAGGACGGTGGAGCCAACAGCGTGGGCGCCTCTTCAAAGTTGGCCTTGAGACCCATGATAGGAACGAGATGCGCTTGACCGACAAGCTAGATCGTTCTGATCTTGTTTAGTGCGATTGAACAGTACCAATATCGTGTCGTTCAGTTGGTCGATGGCTGTTACAAAAGTAAGCTCGTTTCGGCTGAATCGATGTCGGCGTGCCTCGGATAGATAGGTGACGGTCACATTGCTCAATCGCGGCTTGGACTGTGACTTCATCTGCAGACACGACCCACGGCTGTCGGTAGCGTGCGTGGGAGTCGTCTGCAAAAAGGCGGTGCCTGGTGTTGCATGAAAAGGTCCGTCGCAACACAGCGTCATCACAGCAGCAGGGAACAATAAGTTAATTCGAGGACCCTTGACAAGCTGTTGAGACGTCAGGTGAGGGTTCTGGGTTCTTGGTGGCTGTGTGGTGCCATCCGCTCAAGCTTGGCTCAGCCGAGGCGGAACAGCTGTGTCGTCTCCGTTTCATCCGCAAATTCCAGGTGCTAGACGAGCCAGCATCACACCAGTCTGTTTCCAAGGGCGGTAAATCCCTCACGATCTGGCTCTTCTGCAGCAAAACTGGCAATCTTCTGGACACTCTCGATCGACACAAGGAGCGGAAGAGGTATCGCTATCGGAAGCAAAGGCAAGGGTAGGCCATCGATTTTGAGGAGCTCAATGGGATCATCTTGTACGCAACACTGCGCTCGAGCTTGCCTCGACCGGCGAGGCGGTGATAAGTGAGCGAAGCAAAAAGCTGGGCAGAGATAAGGAACGGGTCGTTCTCGCGTAGACATCACCGCCCGCCGAGCACCTGCTGCAACCGGCCAGTTTGCTCGCGCCTCTTGCTCGGACCAAAGGACACCTTGGTCAAGACCCGGTCTGTGAATCAAACAGGTCAGCGAATCGAGGGAGCAGCAAGAGTTCAACCTGCAATCAGGACTGCAAATTGCCTGCTACAAGGAAGGCCAGCAGGGGCAAACAAAACAGGGTCCAGCTCGTCAAGAGCGCTTGCCACCGCGGCGAATTGGGTCAATCTGATTGGAAGCACCACGCAGCATCACGCGGGGTCGGCTGCGTCGGTTGACTCTGCGGACGCAGCAAGAAGAAACCGGTGCGGCATTTTGGCCATCGAGTTTCCCGACTGCAATCGATGATGATTGCGGCGTGCCGTGCCTCCTAATCGTGGCCCACACTTATCGCTACCGTGTACGGTGGAGCGTAATCCCCCGCTCACATCCGCTTGTACGGCTTGTGTCTTTTCCGACCTCGTGCATTACACCGTACTCATTCACTGCATTCCCGATTCTGCGGGAGGCTGTCTTCTGCTTTTGCTGCATGATCTCGAGCTGCAAAGTCGCCCGTGTTCCTCAACGACTTGCCGCCATCGAACATTGCAATCCGCCGCACTTTGCCTCCTTCCTCTTGACCTCGTCATTGCCTTCTGCCCTATTTGGGATCATTCCGGCCACGTCTTTCGCGTCGCGCCGCTGCTGCTTGTCGAGAGCCATCTGCATGGTCTAGCCAAGTGTGAACGAGCCATCTTCGCTGTCGGCACTTTCGACTACAGTCAACGTCTGATTCTGCCGAAACCACCCGAACTCTCGCACCTCTCCGGAAGGCTCGTTTGATCTCCACTTCTAGTCCTACCTCGTTTCAACTGGTCCGTGCCGGTTCAAGAAATCGCTGCAAAACGCTCACTTCAGGAATGTCCGACCCATCGTAGCCAGTATGACGCCTCGCAGTCAAGCGTCGGTGTCCGACATCGCCGAGTCCTCGGGCTCCGTCCCGACCTCTTCGTTGCGATCGAGACCGTCGCAACACAGGCTTGAAGACTCATCCCAGCCGGTTTCCACCACAACAGAGGATCCCGACCTCATTTCGGCTAGCCACTCTGCTACAAGTAGAAAGCGGCCGCCTGCTGACACGTCGACAGCCGATAGCGAAACTCGTTCAGGTCCTTCCAAGGCCTCCAAGGGCAAAGCAAAGTTTATCCCCAACCGTGTCAAGCGGTATCATGAACGATCGCTCGCAGGTTGCTTAACCTGTCGAAAGCGTCGCGTCAAGTGTGATGAAGCCAAGCCCATCTGTCGCAGGTGTGCTTGCGGCGACCGCGACTGCATCTATCCCGACATGTCGCCCGCCTCGGCGACTGACCCCTCGAACGACACAACGATGCGTAAAGCCGAATACACCACGCTGCCCGGACTTCAAGTGTCGTCTCTTGTTCACGATAACCGATCCCCTCCGCTGGCCGACAGCAGTGCCGACTTTCTCTTCTCCCCGCCAGCCGGTGTCGGGCCCGCATCATCGTTGCATCATCCCCAAGCGTATGCATCGCGCTCACCGCAATCATCGTTTGATCAAGGTAGCCCGCTATCTCCAATGTCGCATCGCAATGGCCGTGCTCGAGCTTCCACCAGCGCCCACAATGACCGTTACCGCATCCATCCCGACCCCGAACGGCAATCAGACCCGCACAAGCAAGCTAGATCCGACTACGACCATCACAGACCGCACACATATACCCAATCGCCTCATCCACGCCCATTCGGTTCTTCGTCCATCGACATGTCCAAGGTCAAATTGCCCGAGCTACCTGCCGGATTTGGATTCGGTCATCTCGACGCCTACTTTCCGACGTACGAGCAACAGTGCCTCTTTCGTCATTACATCCTCGAGGTCGCGCCTCAACTCTGCGTAATACAGATTCCTCTGCCAGACAATCGCTGGATCAGATACCATGCCACCTTTGCTGTCCGTCACCCACATGGGACCAACGGCTACGAAGATGCGCTGCGATCCGCCCTGCTCAGCATGGCGAGCCTCGATATCGGTCACAAGCTTTCCCAAGCCCCCATTCCAGACCTCTTTCCTTCAACCGCCTCGCGAGAGGATGCTATGTCGTCCAGGTCCGACAAGCTTGCAGGTCAGGTCAGAGGCCTATCTGGCCCGTCGTCTTACAGCTCCACGATGCAACACGCCGAGTACCCACACCGTGGAGCTTTTGCTCCTAATGGTTCGGCCGAGGCAAACTCTAAGAGCATCATGTCCAACGTCTTGCTCGAGCTGAGCAATCTGCGACGTGAAGAAAGTCTGCGCCTTTTGCGCTCCACGCTCAAGGAGAGACGCGCACCCCTCGACCGTAGCGATGCCGCCATCATGCTTGCTACCGTGCTTGGCCTGGCCACGCGTGATAGGCTGGCAGCACAGCAAGACTGGCAGGATGCGCTTCACATTGCATCGAAGGCCATCGCCGAGCTCGGCGGACCGGCTGCGTTCGTGGACCCGTCCGACCCGTCGAGCCTCTTCCTCATCGAGCAGATCGCCTGCTTCGATGCTCTAAGCTCGCTGACCTCCGACGACTACACGCTCTTTCTGCAGCCATGGGACGACTGGTGGTACGCACTCATGGACTCGCCCAGGAGCATCAAGGAGGACAGCGTTCTTCAGACCTTTGGACTCCATCGAGGCATGATCGACATGCTCGCACGCATGACACGTGTAGAAGCGACACGACGCGAGCTGCAGCAGCGCACCAGCGTCACCATCATACTGTCCGAGGCTGTTGGCGCCGGGTCTCCACCTGCACTACCCCCAGAATACGACGAGACTCGACTCTGGTTGGAGTCGACGGCGCGTGCGCTGGTCGCAGAGATACCCATTTGGGCCAAGATGCAAGTCCCTGCAGAGGCAACTCGAACGCTGCAGACGCTATTGCCGGTCATTATGAACCATCTTTACGTAGCCGCAGCCGAGCTGTACATTCATTCGGTCATCTTTTCCAAACCTGCAGATCATCCATGCTTTGCCGAACCCACAGCCGTCGTGCTCGACCGTACCGAAGAGGCGATTCAGGCCGGCATCACCAAAGGGTAAGTGACCTCATACTCCCCAGCCTCTTCTAGAGCACATTAAGGCTGACATGAACGAACTCTGCTGCTTTGCTCCCCTCGTCGCCTATACGGCTGTACAGTCTGGTGCTTCCACTGTCGTTTGCAGCCTTCTCGGCGCGACATCACGACCGGGATCGGATTCGGGCCATGCTCAACGAGCTGCGTCCGTACTACAAGTTCGACCTAGAGCGCATGGAAAAGCTCAATGAGCACCTCTGGAGCTTGGTTGACAGTGGGCTGACACCCACGGATTGGGGCATGTTCCTTAAAAGCGTTGGATGTTTCAACTGGGCTTTCTAAGTCGCTTACGCCCTTCAGACTGCTTGGCCGACAAAACGCAATTCTTTGTGTGAATGTACGTCCCCAATCGATCCGTGCAATGCCTCATGCGCTTGACCCTGTGATTTGCAATGCAGTTGTGACATGCAGTTCCGATATCGTCTAGCCTGTTGCTGGATCTTGGCGAAAGAGAGAGCGGGTGGGAGTAAGTACGCGCAGTCAGAGCGCCCGCGCCTGGCAACTGGATTTCCACATTGAATAATTTGTCGTACGACAGTACGGGCAAGAAGAACGAAAGCTTCCAGCTCACCGTTCTCCGACACCCGAGTCCGTAAGTATGTGCTATAGCCCGAATCCTTGATGCTTGGACCCGCGGTTGCTTCATACCCGATGTAATCATTTCTCGCATCCACTTCGTCAATCGAGCAAACTTCCTCATAGGCAGCATCGACGCTTTTTTGCACGGTTGCTCGGCACACGGTGTCAAGGCCTTTTCAGGACACTGACAGCCACGATCAACTTACGGTGGCTCACGTGCCCGTCGAAAGCCCCTGGCAAAGCAGCTATAGCTCTCCGCACGAAGTGTAAGCTCACGATGAAGCCCTTGATATCAAACCGTCCGGCACGTCCGGGGCGTTGCGGCGTATCATGGCTCTTGCTCCTATCAGTCGTCGCCTCGATCTGGTTCGCGGCACTTGTCGCAGCCGCAAAGGATTACTATAAGGTGCTTGGGGTGGACAAGTCCGCCTCGGATCGTGACATCAAGCGTGCTTACCGAAAGCGGGCCCAAAAGGTCCATCCGGACAAACACCCGGACAAGCACGCGGAGTTCCTCGAGCTCAGCGATGCCTACCAAACACTCAGCGATGCCGAGATGCGCAAGATCTACGACAGGTACGGCGTGGATGGCGTCAAAAAGCACCAAGCGCGGAAGGACAATCCACATCAGTATGCGCAAGATCCGTTCGACATCTTCTCACGCTTCTTCGGTGGGGGCGGCGGTGGAGGCGGCGGGGCGCGCAAGGGTCCGAGCAAGGCGTTCAATGTCGACGTTGACGTGGAAGACTTCTACAAAGGAAAGACGTTCACACTAGAGTACCAGAGGAACGTCGTCTGCTCACACTGCGATGGAAGCGGCGCCGAGTCGCCCGGAGATATCCACACGTGTGATGCGTGCGATGGCAGGGGTGTACGCATCGTGAGGCAGCAAATCATGCCTGGCTTTATCACAAATGCGCAGATGACCTGCGATCGCTGTGGAGGCGCTGGCTCGGTAATAAAGCATCGCTGTTCCAAATGTCATGGACAGAAGATCGTTCAGGAGATTGCTTCGGTCGAGGTCGATCTCGAGAGGGGCGCGAGCGAGGGAGTCGAGGTGGTGATCGAAGGAGAGGCGGACGAAGCCCCGGATCACGAGGCCGGCGATGTGATCGTCAAAGTGAGGTAAGTAGATCATCGCGTCAGAGCCTCATGAAGGAGGATTGCACGTAGCATGCGGAACCGACACTCACGCTCTCGATTCCGTCTGACGCTTTACAGCGCCCGGAGATCAAAAGGTCAATTTCGACGCGGCGGTACATCGCTTTACAAGACGATTCCCATCTCGCTTTCGGAGGCTTTGCTTGGCTTCGAACGCAATCTCACGCACATGGACGGACGCACGGTGACCGTTCAGCGCGACGGTGTCACGCAGCCAGGGTTTGTGTCTGTCATTGACAACGAAGGCATGCCCGTGCATGGTACTATGGTGTCGGACGCACCAGAAGCAGACACACGCGCTGGCCGCGACATGCTATTCGGAAAGTTGTATCTCGAATGGCAGCTGGTACTGCCCGAGACGGTCGACCCGGCATTACATCAAGGTGAGTAGCACATCTGCTACTGGATTTGACTGACAATCGTAGCTCTTCGAGCGCAGGCGCTGACCTTACGGGCTGTGTTCTGATCGATTCTTCTCTACAGTGCTGGAGAAAGTGTCTGGACGTGCGCCAGTTTCGCAGACAGGCCAAGCAGCTAGCAATCTCGATCATCAAGAGCTCTGAAGTCAGATTGAAGGTATAGACGTGATGTTGCACATCTCTCCCGATCACCGAGTCATCATAATAGACAGTGTAAGCACGAGACGCTGTCCAAGATTGTGTGAGAAGAACCGTATGAGGTCCGATCGCATGCGATTGAGGTAGGATGGTCTCTTTTTTCAGAGGGAATGGTGTTAGGTCGTGTAGTGTTGAGCAGATCCGACCGAGCTTCCGATCTTCCTTTTTTGTTGTTTCGGCAGCGTCGGTGAATTTTGAGAAACGGTTCGGAGAGGGCCGACTTGCCGCGATCCGCACTTTTTAATGCGCCGAGGAGAAGTGTGACAGGAAGCATTCGATGTGATTGGATAGGTATGATCATGTCAGAGCCGACAAGGGGATCTTGGAACTGTCTGAGTTCGTTGCTTCCACTTGCATTGTCACTTCGACCGTCGACGCGGACCATATAAAGGCCTGCTTTCGCTTCGCTGGCTGGCAGGAATCGGGATCACCCCCTTCCTCTGTTTGACCTGTCCCAGCACACTGACGGCCATGCTTCGTCCGACAAGAACGCTGCGACAAGCGGCTCGCGCCGTCGCACGCGCACCTCATCCATCGCTCACTCTTTCCAATGCCGTCCGCTCTGCGCTCACCGCATCTACCAAGACTCCACTCGTGGCGCTCGAGTCTACTATCATCACCCACGGCCTCCCCTATCCTTACAATCTGGAAGTGGCCCGCGAGCTTGAGCAGACGGTAGTTGACCAAGGTGCCGTTCCTGCCACGATCGCTCTACTGGATGGTCAAGCTTTGGTCGGCCTTAACTCGCAGCAGCTCGAGAGGCTCGCCCGGTGCGCTGTTGACCAGTCTAAGAACGATGCCATCAAAGCAAGCCGAAGAGACATTGCTCATGTTCTCGCGAAGGGCAGTGATACCGTCGGTGGCACCACCGTGAGCGGAACAATGGTCTTGGCTTACATGGCTGGCATCAAGATCTTTGCTACAGGCGGCATCGGCGGTGTGCATCGCGGAGCTGAGTCGACCATGGACATCTCAGCTGACTTGTCCGAACTCGGTCGCACGCCCGTAGCAGTCTTTTGCTCTGGACCCAAGTCCATCCTCGACATCCCACGCACGCTCGAAGTGCTCGAGACATTCGGAGTCTCCGTCACGACGTTCAATCCCACTGGAGAGTTCCCCGCCTTCTACACCTCCAACTCTGGACTCCACGTTCCTTACGCCGGCAACGACACGCAGGCTGCCAAGTCCATCCTTGTCAACGCCCAGCTCGGCCTTCAGAGCGGTCAAGTTTTCGCCAATCCCATTCCTACTGAATTCGACCGCATCGGCGCCCAGATTCAGCAACGTGTCGAACAGGCAGTACGCGAATCGATAGAACAAGGCATCGACAAACGTGGCAAAGAGGTGACGCCTTGGCTACTCAAACGACTAGCAGAGCTCATCCCAGAGAGCAAGCAGAGCAATCGTGCGCTCGTCGTCAACAACGCCAAAAAGGCGGCGCAAGTAGCGGTCGAACTCGACAGAATGGAGAAGGAGGTTGAGCGTGCTGTCGACACACATGCTCTGGGTGGCATCCCATCGACTGTGAGTTGACTTTCGCCCGGTTCCGTCCTGTCCCACACTCAGCCGCATCGGATCCGGTTCCTCGATGTACGTACACGGCCGCACTGAGGTTCAATCAACAAAAGTTTGCATCCCAATCACTCAACCGAAGTGGGCGTCAATTGTATCTCGCAGTAATTGTCGCTGAACATTCGTAGCTCGATCTTGTTTTGTTCTGCTTCCACCGACTCTCAGGCATCGATCGTAAGGGCAAGAATCCTGTTCTTCGGAGCAGCAGCCGTCGATATCACCTCTCAGGCAAGGTCATCTGGGTTGGAACAGGTTGCGGCCACTACGTATCCAGGTCACGTCTCAGTGACCCTCGGGGGCGTTGCACGCAACATGGCCGAGACGGCTACCCGCGTGCTAGCTTCCTCTGCACCGTCCACGGTCAAGCTCATTTCGCCCCATGGAGATGACGACTTTGGCTTGCTTCTACGAACCGGTATGCAACAAGCCGGTATGCGGACCGATGGCCTTTTCGTGCCTCAAGATCCAGGCCGAGCGAAGAGGACGGCGGTGTGCTCGTTGATGTTGGATGATCAAGGCGATTTGATATCAGGTGTCGCGGACATGGATATCGGACAGACAGCATTGTATCCGCAGACAAGTGCGGATACACATGGACTACCAGGCCTGCTGACAGCTGAATCGCCTGAAATTGTCGTCTTTGACGGCAACATTGGAGGTGCGCAAGCGGATGAGCTCCTGGCTGCCTGCGAAACATACAGCGCTCGCACTGCAGAGTTTCAAGGACGGCGATTGCTTACGCTCTTCGAGCCAACCAGCATCTCGAAGTCGGCGATTGTATTGGACCATTTCAGCCTGGCCAAGCGCAACGGGCAACCTACGCAACCAATCAGCTTCGCCACGCCCAACGTCGTCGAGCTGCAACAAATGCACGCAGCATCAACACAGCTGGGCCTGGTACCATCGCCAACAATCGAGTGTTCATCATGTAACTTGAGCGTCGATCCCAGCATTGTGGAACCCGCAGCGGTCCTGCAGGCAAAGGCGCTGGTAGATGCGGGTATAATCTCCGTCATCCTACTCAAGGTCGGTCGTCACGGAGTCATCACGATCGATGCCGAGGGGGCACGACATCACCCGGTTTCCGCAGGCAAAGTTCACATGGTCAACACAACAGGCTGCGGCGACAGCTTTGCGGGCGCGTTTGCTGCCACACTCTCCCATTTCATCAAGGATCAGTGGCCGCAAAGCAAAGCAGAATGGTCCGAACATATCGACACGGCAGTAGAGGTGGGTCAGCGTGCAGCACGAAGCACATTGGCATCCACCAGAGCTGTCGGCGAGAACATGCACCTCTTGCTAAATAGCCACCTTTGATCTCAGTTATGTACGGGACACATATGATGCTCACAGTGATACCGCGCAGCCGTGTCCTATGGACTGTACGGGACAAATTGTTCGAAGGCAATGACAATAACGGTACGACAAAGGAAGGATTGAACCAAAACCAAGCAAATGCGTGCGTGCAGACGATAGGGGAATGACAACAGCGTGACCAAGAAACGAGCAACCAAAGAGACATGCTCCAAGCGTACAGAAACAACAACGCGGATCCGGGTAAAGGAAGGGATGACGACACGCAGCGAACTAGGCATATACCTCCTCGACGAGCCGATCCAGCCCAGCTCTTGCGCGCATTGCGTGTTCGACGGGTACTCCCTCGGCTTCGTCCGCCAAACTACTGTTGAACACCTCGACACTCCACGGCCCTTGATAGCCCGCGCGAAGGACGGCAGCCTGAACAAAGTCTCTTGTCGGTAGGAATGCGCCTCGGTCATACTCGCATGGGAATAGACGATTTCCCCTCGACCAGATCATTCTGGCCGGTCGCGGCTCGTCAGCGTTCGGTGAAGGCTTCAAGGGCTCAGGCATCCGACGCGCATCGCCGATCTGGAGGAAAAAGATCTTCTCTGCTGGCACCATGCTGAGCTTGTTGACCGACTGCAACACCGCAGCATGCGGATCAGCGTGCTGATCGGTGATTCCGGTCCTGGTACAGGGGTCGGCATACTCCCTGGCCAGAGTGTTGAACGAGTCGAGGATGAGGCCGACGTTGTCACGATCTGCATGCTGCACCGCCTGCCACGCGCGAGACCAGATGTCGACATGCGCTCCCCACGATAGCGCCTCGTAACCAATTCTGATTGGGCGAGCACGGCGTTCGATGGAGCCGCTGCAGTTGGCATGGTAGAAGGAGTAGACTGGGCCAAAGTGCTCGGCAAATTGACCGAGCTGGGCAAGATCGCGACCAATTTTCTCAACATCGCCTACGGTCGCGGGAGCGTGCTGATTGTTGGAACAGATGAGAAGCAGATCCGCGCCCAGCCTGCGCATGACCTCGAAGCGTGAACGAGCCCGGCGCAGTGCGAGCAGCTGATCTTGGGGACTCGCCCAACCTTCAAAGTCCCTCAACGGCTGCAGGCTATAGACTTGGAGATTGAGCGAGTCGCAGTATGAAGCAATGTATGAGGCGGCTGCCAGCTCCTGTCTATACGCCGTGGCGGTGCAAGGGCCCCACGCGTTGTAGGTCATCGGGAGACCGTCGAGGCCAGCCACCAGATCACCCTTGTCGTTGCGCACGAGCAGATCGTCATCAAGACCGGCGACAGCGACGTACTTGTCTCTTGATCGGATACCGTTGGCAGCGCAATACGGAGTGCCATTGGCTGACGAAGACGAGGTGGAAACTGAGGATGAAGACGAACAGCGTCTATCGAGATTCATGGGCGAATCGGGTGGAGTGAGGCCAGAGAAAAAGGGCGATGAAGACAGAGATGGAGTTGAAACGATCGCATCGCCGCGTTCCTGAATCTGACGGAACTCATCGGAAGCAGCGAAGGCGTCGAGGTCGTCCTGAAACAGCTCGATACCATCAAAACCAGCTCGCGCGATGGCACGGATCTTGGCCAGAAGAGAATGTCCCGCCGCGTTCGCGCCGACCGAGTGCGTAAAGATGGAATATGGATGAGCACGCATAATGGGTGGAGGGGTGCACAACAAGGACCAGCTTGTCCAGCAGGTGTGGCTGCTATAATGAGCTGTTAAGGATGCGGCTGCGCCTGTCCTGCCTGTCGAGATGCTACGCGGGTGGGCGTGTATCGCGATGGCAGCTGGATTGGGCAAGCTGATCAAGGGGATGATCGCGGGGTCAGAGATGATGGTAGTGCGGATAGGATAGACGAGAATAAGAGAAGACAAGGCATGAGGAGGGCGAGAACGATGAGGCTGCCCGAGAGACGATAAGGCCAATATCGATTTGATTTAGCACTCACGGCTCTCCCACTGAGAACGGACATGCTGCAGGATCGCAACCAGGCGCATGCGTTGCCGAACGACTTTAGACTACGGTGGAGGGCATTGACGCAGCTGAAGCCTCCTCTGACAGAGTGGGACGGGCGAGAGTGCTCGAGCATGCGTTTGGGCTTGATCCCAGGCGTTCCCATCTTTCGGCAAGAAAGGTTGAGAGGTTGGCATCATTTCCGTTGAAAGCGATCCGTTTCCGCTGAGTTTCCAGGGATGAAGAGGCAGGTGAGAATCGACGGTGGCTTGAGCTGTCAGGACTCGGATACCCGAAAACCAACGGCACCTGCATCGCAATCCCTAAGCGAGGCGGATAAGGGATGAGGCTGATCCTGCAGATCGACCTTGCACGCAGAGTGGCTGCAAGGGTGCGATGCGGCATGTCCTCTCACAATCTTTGCGCTGCTGGACCAACTCAAATCCGCAGTCTTGTTCGTGGAGCAAAGCATGTTACAGAAGATATGGCTGCAAAGCGGCAATAGGCTCATTGAAGCGACTGCCAGCATCTTTCTTGCAAGAGAATTACTCGCAGAAAGGGGACCCTCGATGACGACGGTCTAATTCAGGGCACAGATCGTCGGTTTCGATTGGCAGGTCCAGCTGCAACTGCAAGAGCACGCGCCCTCGTTCACGATACATCGGTTACGTTTTGCGAATCGCCTAGCCGAGACAAGATTTTGTTTGGTTGGTCGGTTCCCGGCATCGTTGAAGAGCTGAACCTATCACGTCTCAAAAGTACAGCCAGAAGTCCTTTCTCGGCTGTAGCCTATGTGGTCTAGGGTGGAGTCAAGGCTCCGTAGTACCATGAACGGTGTTCACAGAGCTCGACTGGATCACAGCACCATCTTTGGCCCTTTGCTGACTGTCGTCGAAGCGCAGGTACCGCTTTTTTGGCAGTATGGTCTCTTCTTTTGTCTTTGTTCGAACGCCGACAGCTGCCTTTGATTGACGCAAGAATAGCACGCACTCATTTCAAGCCAACGCAGTGAGCAAATACAATGCCAGCAGCAGTCGATCAAGGCACAGTGATCTTCCACAAAGAGCTTGTTGCAAACTGACATCGAGATCTGTAAAATTGTTGAGCACTGAACACCCCGAACGATCCAAACGTGCTGCTCGCATGACCGACATTGATAGCGAGACAGCGCAACATCCCTCACGAGAAGACCAATCCTGCCAAAGATGCACCTCTGTGGAGGGTCGGGCAGCGAGTTGAACGTGTCTGAGACGACCGTTGTTTGTACAGTAGCTTGTTTGCCGACGGCAAAGCGTCGAAGCCGATGTGCCCTGCATCGGATAAGCAACGCCCAATTTCGCCAGAAAATATCGCTATTCCTTTCCACAGATTTGGCTCAAGCTTGTCGCGCCAACTCCCAGTGTCTCCAAGACTCGGCGTATCGACCCACCAAACACTGCCATATCCCAGGCCGAGTCGCTATACCTCTGGCCATCCTGATGTCCGCCCACGGTACCATCGCTCGCTTGCCAATACGTCGGACTAGACCAGGCATGGGTGCTGTATGTTTCGGTTTGGGGCTCAGTTGGATTGCGTCCGAGCTCTAATCTTGTTCGTCGCCTGACTCGCTTCCGTCATCGTCCCGCAAGCAGCCCCTGGCCCGCTCCTAGGCTGCTCCCGTGTCTCCTTCGAGCCGGCATGCAGAGTCTCATTGCGGGCGTTCCGAGCCTGTTGGAGCAAACAAGCTCCATCCATAGTCGGGCTCATTCGTCTGTCCTCTGCATTGAAATCGCCTTCCATGCTGCGACGGGATGCGAACGAACTCCAGAACAATTGGCGTATTGACGTAGCTTGATCAAATGTTTGAGCGAATGAGAGCTGTATGAACTGGCTTTCGGCCACGGACTTGCCACTTCTACGAAAAGACGTGCGGATGCAAGAATAATCTAAGCGGTTGGCCATGAACAGAGTCAGAGAGACTGCCATCTCCACGCGACGAGAAAGTTGCATACGGACTCCTCGTGCGGAAGCGTGAGACTAAGAAAGACTCTCTCACTTTCAAGTTGGATCAAGCAGCCGTGCTACTTGTGCAACACTGGCACGCAACACGGATCGAGAGGCGCCCGACACGATGCTATGGAATCCATCAGGAAAGACGCTTGGCGCAAAGTGGAATTCCGCTTCAAGATCAACTTGCTCGGATTTCGGGGGTTTCGCCTCCACTCTTTCGCCTTACCTCGCCGAAGATCACAAATCACAATGGCCAAGCGGTCACACCCTCAACACCATCATCACAACTTCATTATCGCCAATCTCGACCACCGATCACGATCACGACAACGGTCACCGTCACCACCTACTCGCTCACGTTCGCAAGCCCGCCTGCTACCACAGTAGATATGCTGGCCGCCGAACCGCCCTTCTCGCTCGATGTGGGCTCGTCAGCTGCCATCGACGAGCTGCTGACAACGTCTCACCCGGCCTCCTTTTCCGGCTTACTCGACGAGCCTCTTTCCACCCGTCTCGAAGTCTTTTGCTTTTTCCTCGCCAGCGATCAATCCCGCACAGATGCTCTCCGCAACTCGCAGGTCCCTCGACCGCTTCTACCACTGTGCCTGGTCCTGCGCTACCTCGTTCTCAAGGAACAAGGCCGATTGGGAGAGTCGAGCAAACGCTTCAACTGGTCTCTCAAACAGGTACACGCCGCCGTAGCAGCAGCATTTCGTGCGTATACCATCCACGAAGCACTCAAGTCAGATTCAGGACCCACAGAGCTTCCTGCTGGGCTCTCTTACCCGGATGCGCTCAGCGTCGACCCCACCACGCGTGACATCCACCTTCAGTCGAGTCTCCAGCTCACCCTTCATTCAGCTTATCAGCTCGCTCAGACGCTGCTCCTCTGTCCAACTCCATTTAGCGCACCACCTAGCGCTCTCGTCCTCGGGTCACTCTTCCACACGATCGCACAATCGACGGAAGAGACAACACGCGACACCATCGCGGCTATCTCCACACCCGTAGAGAACGCAATGCTCGATTGGATCCTGCACGACACATTCGATCATCTAGCTATCGACGTGGAAGCGCTGCGCAAGGCAAAACGGGAGCGTAAGAAGGAAGAGAAGAAATTGCAAACAGCCGCCGCGGAAGCAGAAAAGAAAAAGAACGCCAATGCCAAGCAAAACGCCATTCGTTCTGGTTTCGGCCTTCTGCAGCTTGACGGTCAAGACGGGCAAGACGACAGCGAACAGGAAGAATCGGAATAGGAATCAGAAGGCGCTCATGCCTTGGTCTTCTCCTCTTCCTGAAACTCAAAAAAGCCGCCTGTCGACAGCGAAGCAGGTTCGTCTGCAGGGTTGTCGCCGCATCCGTCGATCTCGTTCTCCGTCAGAACAATCTCTACCTTCCTCTCGGCATCCGCTTGACCAGGGAAGAGGTCATCGAAGCTCATCCTGCAGCGCGAGCCGTGCGGCTTGCCATCGATCAGCACGCGCTCCACATATGCCTTGACGCCCTTCGCGATCGTTCCACCGATCGACCGTTCGTCGTAGCCGGTCACCGTCACAGTGGCTTTGCCGAGCACAGGGTTGTTGATCGTGTAAGCCGGCATGAACGGCGACAGCACCAGTAGCTCTTTGGTTCCGGGCGTCGGGTAGAATCCAAGCAAGAACCATCCGAGCAACGAAGCCATGGCTGCATTGTCGTCGTTGCCTGGAATTCCGCCGGGCTTCAACGAAAAGTTATCGTTCACCACCTCCCTTACCCTCTGCACACTACGATACGGTTTGCCGATAAAGTGGTACATGGTCGGCGTGTCGAAGCTCGGCTCGTTGCCAGGTGCGTAGTATCCCTTGCTGAAGAAGTGGTCCAGTCGTTTCTCGAAGGTGGCATTACCTCCCATCAACTGGACCAGCCCGTTCCTGTCATGCGGAGCGTAGTAACTGTACTCCCACGATGACGACTCGTAGACACCGAAATCGTTCTCGGGTTGCAGGCTGCATGCATGGCTAGAGTTGTTGTCGAGTGGGGAGCAGAACGTCGGATCGCTCGCCATGAAGGTGCCGTTGGCGAAGCGGCGCTGCACGAAATTGGTGAAGCCATCGCTGGTCGTGTGACGATCAAAGTTGAGACTGTAGTTCAACGACGCCTTTGCGTATCGCTGCATATCTTCTTCCGGCTTGCCCAATGCCTGTGCCGTCATTGCCGCCGTGAAATCACCAAAGGCATATTCGAGCGAACGACTCGCCTCTCGCGTCTGCTCTCCTACCGAAGCCGGGTCGAGGTAACCGAATGGAACGTAGCCGTAAAGCTGGTAGGGACCGGCTTGACGACCCTCGTACTCCCACTGCGGCGATGGCACGTCGAGATCATGCTGCATCGCCTGGTACAGCTCATCAGTGTTGACGCCGAGCGACGCTGCTGCCTTGGCGTACTTGACGGCAAAGTCGGCGAGCACGGGCACGCCGTTGTTGGCACCCTGAACGTAGCCCTTGACCTGGTTGGCACGGCACTCGGGGAGCCAGCCTTCTTTCCTCCAGCCATCGATGTACGTCTCCACGATCTGGGCAAACTCGACTGGGCTCGACAGCGACAGGAATGGGAACAGCGTGCGGAAAGTGTCCCAAGTGCAGTACATGCCGTCAAAGTAGGGCGACGTCGTGGGGAACGGGCCATCCTCGGTAGCATTGTTGGGCGAAAGGAAGGTGCGGTAGAAGCTCGTGTAGAACAAACGTCGGATGTAGTCAGGTGTGGAAGGGCTCAGCTGGATACGTTGGAGCTTCTCTTCCCACTGCGACTCGCTGGCTGCAACGGTGGCGTCAAAATTCCAATCGCCGATCTCGCTTTCCATATTGCGGCACGCATTCTCTGCTGAGGCAAATGACACGCCACGACGTATGGTGATGGTGACGTCCTGCTCGGCCTGCGAATTGGTCTCAAATCCGACAACTGCACCCGCTTGATACTGTCCGACCTCCTGTGCCAATCGAACCCAGTGATCAAGATCGGTGCGCTTCGTGTCGTAGCCCTGACGGTTGCCGCCAAAGAATGCATGCCTGGACAGCTGCTGCTTGCCGTTGAACTTGAGATCAACGCACTGGAAGGCATGATAGTGAAAGTCGCCCGGGCCGAAGGAGCTCAACCAGGTGCCGTTCATCATCAGGCGGCCCTGCTCCCAATCAGCCTTCATCTCGCCTCCTCTGAAAGTGCCAGGCGAGTCGTTGGTCCAGTCGAGCACCAGGTGCGGAGTCGACTTCATGCGCTGCATCTCGTGTGCGGGGAAGGTGTACTTCTCGAGCGTGCTTCTGCGGGCGCTGGTGAGTTCGATCTTGATGCCATTGTCGAGCGTAGTGGTGAAGTAGCCGGGCCGGCCGTGATCTGTGTGGTTGCGGCGCAGACGCTTGCGTGGGTCGAGAAGCGTTGGGCACGCATCGATCGCGTTGTTGGTGCACAGGACGGGCATGATGCAGAAGTTTCCGTAGCTACCGTCGCTCGACCCGGTGCCGGAATCGTGGAGAGGGCTGACGCCGCGCGTGGGCTGGTCAGACGGCCAGACGTAGCCTGCAGGAGCGTAGCCCTCGACGTTGATCGTAGCCTTGGCCATACCGTAGGGAACCGAGGCACCTGCAAAGACATCGCCCGGATCATTGTTGGCCTCGGTGCCGACGAAGATGTTGACAAATTGAGTCAAGTTGGCGTTGGCGCTTGCGACTAGGGTCGGGTCGGATTCGATCACAAACGGTTGTTCTGGCGTCTTACCGCCATGCAAAGGAAGCGTTCGAGCGACAGTCTGATGACGGAGCGCTCCGAGAATGAGTATGGATTGGAACACCCGCATTGCCTTCGTCATCTTTAACGACCTGAAGGGGGATCTTGAGAAAGAGGAGGAAGCGGATGGGGAGATGTGGGACAGCGCTCATTGGTCGTGAAGCTCGTCTTTTGTAGCCTTCGAATCTGGCCAGTGTTGCCGCTTTTCCCTGCATCTGTGTTCTGTGTAGCGTGCAAGCACTGGTCGGAAACCCACACTGCCAATGACCCACCAGCAACATAGCGGCAAGGCTTGTCCGATGTGGGTCAACTCACAGCCGAGATGTCAACGTAGTCACTGCTGCCACTGCCTTGCATGCGACATTTTTAGCGCGACTCAAGGCAAATGTGGGCTTTAAAGGCACCCGACGCCGAGAAACGGGCGTGGACGATGGGACGAACACCGTGCTGCGGGTCTGAGTATCTCAGAATGCATACGCTAGCCTTGTGTACAATACATTCGCTAGAATCTCCGAAAGCATCATGCATCTAGAGTCTTGTTAGCAACCTTGTCAGATCAACGACGTGGGTACGTCTTTCAGAGGAAGGGATGCAGCACCGGCGGCAAAGTGGCTGTATCGTATTTCATCCCGCTCGCCCCACTCGGCCTGTGCCGCATGCTGGCAATCCGAGACCCGCAAATTCGATGGCTAGACGACACGGGCCCTTTCTGGCAGGCGAGGCTCTTTGGGGTACAGTCAAACCCTGCAGACGAACCAAGTTGCCATGTCGCAGATGCATGAACGCGTTTGGATGCCAAGTTCGGATATGCGCCGTGTCGATACGGCTGCAGACAGCTGCAAAGAGTCTGCTAGACAGACCAGGGGCCACCGTTACTTCATGTTGGCTGGATGGAGTGTCCACCAAAGGACTTGGCAGCGTTCCAATTCAACTTCACAGCCGCACAGACCCGAGCTGAGCCGCACGCAAGGGCAAAGGATAGCAATAAGGCTTTTGGAAGGTTCAAGCGATGCAGATCTGCAGACGAAATGAAGTAGGAGACGATGATGCAATAATCAATTCTTGGAGCCGATGAAGGGGACGAAGCACGGGACTTGCTCCTTGTAACGCTTCCACTCTGGCTTGTCCTTGTGCTTGTCGTCACCGCTCTTCTCGAGCATGGGCACACCGGAGATGAAGCGAATGAGGCCGTACTCGAGCAAAGGGCTAAGAGCTGCGAGACCCACAGCCCAGGTGGGGTAGAAGGTACCGGCGCTGGCAATGGCGGTTGTGGAGAGAACAAATTGACCGGCCCACAGGCTGACCTCGCCGAAGTAGTTGGGATGACGCGACCAGCTCCAGACACCTGAGCTGATGAAGGGTTCCTTGTGCTTTCCGGCCTCCCTGTCCTCCCTCCACTGCGACTTTTGACGGTCTGCGGTTACTTCAAGGCCCATGCCAGCGATCCAGATGGCGAGACCCAGGTAGTCACGAGGACCAAGAGGAGGTTGGGAAGCCTTGGGAATGGAGTTGACGAGGTAGACGGGGAGCGCGGTGATGGCAATCCAGGTGGCCTGCATCATCCATGCACCGAAGAACTTGGGAGGGCTCTGCTTGATCTCATCGAACCTGCTGTCGCCGCCCGACTTCTTGATGCGTTGGAAGAGGAAGCTGCCGAGGCGAATGGCCCAGAAGAGGGTGAGTCCGGTCATGATGGTCTGCCTCGGATGAAAGGCGGAAAGGGACGTAGGCAAAGAGATGTTCTTGAACCCATCAATGTATCGTGCGCGAATCCATGGCATGTAGAGCGAGGCACCGGCGGCCGAGATGAAGCCGAGAGAGCCGCAGAGGTCGTAGTACTTTTCGGTCTTGAGTGGGACGGCGATACTGGCGCATGCTGCCTGGAAGCCGTAGATAAGGCCGAGAGTAGGCAGGAGAGCCTTGAGGCCAACGGTGTAGGTGCTCATTTTGGACGAGCCGCGTACGATCGTGACAGGGATGGGGTGAGGGAGGACTAGATAGCGACTTTTCGTGCGAGCCTATATGTCCTTCTGGCTATCGCGAGACGACGTCAAGGACACCGAACGGCTTTGTGACCCGCGGGTGATGTTAGGCAATCAAGTGACGTGGTGGAAAGTGCTGATTCACGGCGGAGTCGGATGCAAGCAGCTTCGGAAGGGTGATTGCGAGCACACAGCTGCCAAAGGTGGCCCGATCGTCATGATGGAATTCATGCAACAGCGAGCTGCAGCTTTTCTGACATCAACACCAAAGTGGAGGCGAATCTCCGCGGAAGGGTATCAACTCGATTTTAGCTGTACATGTTCTGATCAGAGGTGTAACACGTTCTGCTCCGAGCAACAATCGAATTCTACTTGTGCATGGATGCGGATGTGCGGACGATTCTTGCAGCTCGGCAAGCAATGATGATCATCGCTGTTCGTTCCATGCCTATCGATGTCCTCCGTTTCGCGCCTGATAGCTCGCTTGCGTTCTGGCCAAAACCATTCCATTCGCCCACTCACGGCTTGACTCTCTTCCGAGCGTTGGTTGCGTTGCACCTGTGAGGAAGAACAAGACGCAGGTGTCTTTGTGGTGACGGTCGAAAGCAACGCGACGCCAACATCGCACAAGTGCACATGCGAAACGTCGATCTTGGCACTCTGACTCTGTGGCTGTCAAAACACTCGAATTCCGCCTTTGGAGACAGCCGCTGCACGTCGGTTTAGCCTCCGTCACCTGTCAATCACCGAATGTGCATTTTTCTCATTTCCCTCGATTCTAGACCATTTGGGCTTGATGTTGACGCATCACAGCATCACTGTTTGCTGTACACAGCAGCAGCCCACGATCTTCATCTTTCAGATTCCGATGTCCAGTTCGGTTGCAATCAGAGTGCCGGTTCCATCCATCCCTCCCTTCCGATCCGATTCGGCTTCCATCCCTTCTCTCCTCCACCATAACTACCGTCCACCGACATCCATCGATCCGTGTCAATCGCCATGTCGCAGCAGTACTCGTACGGCGGCGGAGGTTCAGGCGGCTACCCGCCCCCGCCTCCCCAGATGCAGCAACCAGGCTCGTACGCCCAGGGAAACTACCAAGGTCAACCTCAGGGCGCCCAGGATCAGTACTACAACGGCCAGCAGCCGCAAGGAAATGCTCCTCAACAGTACTACGGTGGTGACCACAAACAGCCCCTCAAACCCGAAGGCTTCGAAGGCCAACGTCTCGAACCCAAACCCAAGTTCCGCGATCCCATCTTTCTCGTCCTCTTCCTCGCCGTCTTTGGCGGCTTCATCGCTCTTTCCGTCATCTGTCTTCGCGGCTATTCCAACTCCAATATCAACGAATCCATCGGTCAAGGCAATGTAGCTGGTAACACGCTCAACGGCCAGACCGCCATCATGTTCATGATCTGCTGCGCTGTTGCCCTCGTCTTGTCCTTCATCTACATCTTGCTCGTTCGAACCTTCCCCAAATTCATCCTCGAGGCTACCCTGCTCTTGACCACGCTCGCCAACGTCGCTTTCTGTGTCTACCTCTGGGTCCGAGGCAACACCGCTGCCGCCATCATCTTCACCATCTTTGCCGTGTTCAGCGTCATCGCCTACTTTTTCATGCGCAAACGTATCCCGCTCGCAAAGCTCATCCTCGTCACCGTCATTCGCACTGCTGAGCAGTACAAGAGCGTCTACGTCGTTGCTCTCGGCGGTCTGATCGTCGAAACCGCATTCAGCGCTTGGACCAGTTGGGTGGTGGTCGCCACCTACCAGCGTTTCGAGCCCTCAGGTCAGGCAGCAGGTAGCAGCTCCAGCAACGCTTCTGTCATCGGCTTGATGGTCTTCATCGTCTTCTCCTACTACTGGATCTCCGAAGTCATCAAGAACGTCGCCTTCACGACCGTCGCCGGTATCTTTGGTGTCGCCTACTACAACGCCAACAAGGTCGCCCACGCTGCTTGGGGCGCTTTGCGTCGATCCATGACCTACAGCTTGGGTTCCATCTGCTTTGGCTCGCTCATCGTGGCCATTCTCGACATGCTGCGTGCCCTGTTCAATCTGCTCCAAAGTCAGGCTGCTTCAGATGGCGATTTGACCGGTCAGATTCTTGCTTGCGTCGCAGGCTGCTGTGTCGCTTGCATTCAGGGGCTCGTCGAATACTTCAACCGCTACGCCTACATCAACATCGCCCTTTACGGAAACGGCTACATTGCAGCTGCCAAGGAAACCTGGTCTCTCCTCAAGGACCGAGGTATCGATGCACTCATCAACGACAGCCTCGTCAACATCGTCTTCAACTGCGGCGCCTTCATCGTTGGACTGCTCACGGCGCTCTTCGCCTTCATCTACGAGCAAAAGACCAACCCGCAGTACCTTCAGAACGACTCGGGTTACTACTCCATCATCTTGTTGGTCGCCTTCGGTCTCGGCTTCAACATCGCTCTCAGTGTCGGATCAGGAAGCATCGCCAGCGGTGTCAGCACGTACTTTGTGGCTTTGGCCGAGGATCCGTATGTGCTGCAAGGAAAGAACCCGGAGCTGTTCGAGATGATCCGTCAACAGTATCCTCGCGTCGTTCAGGGCGTCGGTCACTAAAGCCTCCCACCGAAGAACCGTCTCACATTAACTGCTTTGTTCATACCTGCTGTCACTTGACGGCACTCGCTCATCTATGTCAATACCATTATCCCACACTCTTGTAGTCGGGTCAACTCGTTCCATTGCGACGTTCTACAACTTTGCCATCGCGCCAGGCGACGTGATTTTCCTCGACTGCTTCACGATCTGAACTCGGTACCCCTTTGCTGCAGCGATGTCCTTCCTCAACAGTTTGCCGGTTGGATTCCTCGGCGCTGACGGGGAGAAGAGGTAGACGCTTGGCCACTTGTAGTATGCCGTCTTGTCTCCCACCCACGTATGGAGACGCGATGCCAACTCTCGCATCTTGTCCTCTTGGCTGAGCATTTTCTTGTCCTTTGGCACAACAAGCAGGAGGACCTGCTCTTCACCTGTCGAAGCGTCCTGTACAAATCCTGTAGCGGCAGCATCGACAAGTTCTGGGTGGGTAGCGAACAGGTCGTCCAGTTCAGCAGGCGGTACCTGAAATCCTTTCACTTTGATCAGCTCCTTTGTCCTTCCTGTGATCCACAAACGTCCATTTGCATCCAGACAGCCTTCGTCTCCAGAACGGTACCATCCGTCATCGGTGAACGCCGATGCAGTCAGCTGCACGTCGAGCGCAGACTGCGTTTCGGAAGAGAGGCCCGAAAAGTAGCCCGACATGACAGCAGGTGCGCGGATGAGCACCTCACCGACCAGTCCTGGATCGAGCGGCGCACGCTCACCACGAGCTCTCGCTTGGCGGGAAAGGGTGACAATCTCCTGTCGTCGATGTTCGGCTTGCTCCTTGCTCGTGCCTGGCAGCGATCGGATTTGGATTTCGGTGTTGGGGCAGGGAAAGCCCGCGCTACCGAGCTCGTCGCGCAATGCCTGAGCGTCGGCATCCAGTCCCAACCCACCGGTCTGCGAGGTAGAGCAAGTTTCGGTGGTGCCGTAGCCGAGCTGGATGTATTTGCCAGTACGTTCGTACACTTTGCGCACCACTTCAACAGGGACAGGAGCACCACCGGTGAGGAACGCGGCTATGCTGGAAAGGTCAATGCCTTTGCTTTGCGGAGAGGCTGGATCGAGGTGTGGGCAGGAGCGCAATGCGACGGCCACCGCCGGGGCAATGTGGCTGAAAGTGGCACGGTAGCGAGTGACAAGTCTAAGGTAGTAGCCCAGATCGAATTTGGGCGAGGACGGGATGATGAGCGTGGTGCCGAAAGCGACCGTGGGGAGCAAGACGGTTGCCAGACCGTAGACGTGATACCACGGCGCCAGTGTGATCCAGCGCTCACCACCACCGCTTGCGCCTCTGGACGTTCCGGTAAAGTGCGGATTGGTGTCCCATACTCCCAAAGTGTTGCTCACGAGAGCACGATGACTGATGAGCACGCCTTTGCTCTGACCGGTTGTGCCGCTGGACCAGAGCACAAAAGCGATTCTCCTCTGCTGTTCTTCGGGTGTCATGGGCGCGGGCGAAAAGGCAGGACGGTCGAGACTGGCGATGCTGCCTTCTGCCTTGCTGCCTGTGGGAGGCAGCAAGAGATGTGTCCAATCGCGAGGGTCGTGAGCCGAGGCGACGCCGTGTCGATTCAAGTTGTTGCCGTAGTAGTCCATGCCGGACGTGACATCGACGGTCCAAACTCTGCGGCGACGGAAAGGAATCTGGTTGCTCTTTTCGAGCCTCGCTGCTTCGGCCTGGTCCCAATCTTCTGCAAGCTGACGAGCCCAAGCTTGGATCTCGGATCCCGGAACCTGGCCGTTGTCGGCAGGAGGTGAGTCGAGAAGAAGCTGAAGAGCCTTGCGGAGCGGAACTTCACCTTCTGCACCGACGGTGGTGAAAAGGACCTGCGGACGAGCTTTGGCGAGGATATAGGCAAGCTCGCGTGGGCTGAGGTATGTGGAGATGGGACAGACGGTGAGGTTGGCAGCAACGGTGCCGAGTGCGACAAGAGGCCAGACGATGCCGTTGGGTACGTGTAGGAGCACGGTGGTTCGCGGTGCGTGAATCGGCTCGCGAGGTCTTTTGGGATCCGACACGAAAGCCGGTGGTGGACCGGTCAAGGTCTGGAGGGAGCGAGCGAGACGCAAGCTGTCGGCTTTGAGTCTTGCCCAGCTGAGCTGTGCACCGGTGCCATCGTGGACCAAGATGGGACGCTGCTCAGGGATGGTGGTGCCGTCAAAGGTGTGATTGGGGTATTGATCGGCAAAGTGGTTGGCATGATGCTGAAGCGGGTTGCTGAAGAGGAAGGTGTGAAGGTTCTGATCCTGTGGAAACGGGACTTTGAGGCCAGAGGTAGTTGCCGTCATGATGAGGCGTGGTACTGTCGAGAGGAAAGGTGGGGAGTGAGGAAAGGATGATCACCTAGCGGGGGATCAGGAGGTGGGGCAGGAGCCGCGAACAGCAGCTGCTTATATTGAGCTCAAAGAGCGACTGAAGGCTGAAATGTGTGGGGCACCGCAGCGCGAGAAGGAAGACGTGAAGGGTGAGGAGGACAGCAATGTGGTTCTATTGCAAACCTGTACGAGAAAGCGAGCAAGAGGAACTTCTCTCCGCCGAAGCAAAGGCTCGAGGTCATCGGCTGTCACGGCAATCACGTTCCTGGTTGACAGCCTGGTTTTCCCGGCCCGCACTTCGTCTTCAAATGTCGGACATACTCCTTCTGTCCTTCTTTCAAGATCACACTCTTTTGCCCACCAACCCCCCTATCGGCTTGATTTTCGCGGCACGAAGAGACGAGCGGAAGCAACGTAGAATGCACCCCCGCACAGACTGACTCTGTCGCATCAGGGAAAAGCGGGGTTGAGAAGTGTGACTGCTCTGGTGCCCTGAAAAAGGTTAATTTTAGTAATATAGTACAGTTGGCGACTCTGCGCGACTCGTACAAGGAATTCAGGGTCCTTCTCGAAAAGGCTTTGTCGGCCGTCGGTCTTGCTGCTACAAGCGCCTTCCCGCGCGAGTTTGGATGGAATGGGGGAGCATTCCGGCCGTGAAGCATGGCCCGTCCGTCCATGTCAGCCTTGGCCTGATCATGGCAATCTTGACGCCGACCACATGCACAACATGCTAGTATATGGATAGTACTGTGCCGCTTTGACGTCCGTTGCAACACAGGGCTGTGCCAGGTCGAGGCCTAGTGATCTGTGGAGACGATGTTTCTTAGAGTTTGCCGCTGTTGCACATTTCAGTCTAACACCGCTCGAATTCTCTTTGGTCGGCGAATCAAGCTCGCGCCGAGCGGCAATCTAGAGGCTGTGCTTGAAATCATCTGGTCGTGTGAACATGGACAAGTCACCGGCATACCCAGGGCTCTGCTCGTCAACCTCGTCTGATGGAGGCTCAAGTTGTTGTGCAGCGAAGCAACAACAGCAACAGCTACTTGATCGCACTGATGACTTGACGAAGTTGATCGACCTCAATGTCACAGCCATCGAAATGAATGAGCTCATTTTCCTCTGCCGTCTGAGATTCGTGACAGGTCAATATTTCATTTCATAAAAAGGCTTCTGCCGCTGCCAACCCAAGGTTTTGCTGCGTCGTGACGCACTGACTTGCCTTGATTCTACTTGCATGCGGTACAGCTTACAGCGTATGTTTCCGCCTGCGGACGTCCCATCCTGTTAAGGTCAGATCATCCACAGAAAAATGCTGCTTGCGAGAGGCGCGTTGTTTGCGAACCACCAAGAAAATGCTCCTGCCGAGCTGGCAAACGCGCAAGGCAAGTATATGCGAAACTTGATAGCCGAGCCATTTGCTACAGAGTGGCAAGCATGTTTGGGCGATCTTGGCATGCCGAAACCCCTTCCAGGGACTCCGATCGGATTTGCTTTGCTGGTTCGAACGCCGCACACCCTCGAACTCTATCACAGCCCGCCCGCTGGTAGGAAGGCAGTTCTGAGTGGCAAAGCTGTGCTTGTCTCGGCATCCTTGATCGGTCAACCGCGACGCTCCCATCATCCGGGCCCTGCTTCGATCCACCCTCGACCTTATCCTCCTGTCCTCCGTCACCCTTCCGCCACCTTCCCAAGCGCTGGACGCATACACGCCCCTTTGGACCGCCTCGAAGCATTTGTTTATAAGGTTCCATCACCGACGCCCGGCGCGTTCTCGATCGACTTGATTCACCCCCAGAGATGAAGTTTACCCTCTGTCTGCCTACCTTGGCGCTTGCCACTGCCGCCCTCACAATAACCGTGGCGCATGCATTTCCTTCGACAATTGTACGCCGCCAGACCGACTCGCAAGGCTACTTCAGCCCAGCCACCAACGGAGGCTCCATGCTGACCGGCAACACAGGATCAGGTCAGGGCGAGCCCCTCAATGTCATCATTTCAGGCCAATCCGATTCAGGCGTACTCTACACAGCCGGATTCGAAGAATTCGCCCGCTCCTTCTCTTTTTCGCCCGGCAGCTGTCTCAATATCAGCCAAGGAGGATACCAGACCGCCAACCTTGGTGACGGCAACGGGGCCAAACCGCAGACCAACATTATGCGATACAACTACAAGCAGGGAGATGGCGGAACGTGCATCGAATCGCTCAAGGGCGGCAATCATTTCAGGTATTGGATCCAGAACGGCACTGCTGCCAACTCGGGTGCCATCTTTATCGCTGCCAGTGTCGAGCTTAATGCGACATTGGGACATATGATCGCGCCCAACGGTTACGACGATGGAAGGGATGAGTTGGTGGGCAACGCTACGGCGGGCACTCTGACCAGCCCCGGCGGCTTCCAGTACACGGTCAGCAGGACCACCAACACGCAGCTCCTAAGCGGATTGTCGGCGAGCCAAATCAACCACGATATCGGCGTCGATGGCACAGTCGACGTGCTCACGGTCAGGATCACCAAGAATGGAACCATCGGTGGCAGCTCGTCCAGCTCCGGATCTTCGGGCAACGGAGGTAGCGTCAGCACGCCTCAATCCGGTGCAGCCTCGCCCCGCTCGAGCAGCGCGCTCAAGATCAGCATGGCCGCGCTCAGCATCGCTTTGGGTATCTTCGTGCTGATGTAGAACACCATGCCGACGTACGTAGGCGCGAAACAGCATCTCGTCGCTCTCTCTCTCCATCTCCATCTCTAGACACATGTATGCGCACGCATGTACAATGGACGATTCTTGATCGAATTTGCTCTTTGATTGCTCCTGAGCTCGTATGTGACCGGCTGGCTGTTGTTTCGGTCCAGAACGAGCCTCGTCGTGGCTACACGAACCATGCCGCTCGAAAGGTGAAATGGAGACAATGTCTCAAAATTTGGCCGAGTTCCGCAGCTAAAAAAAAAAATCCAAGTCACCGCAGCGCCTCCACTTTGATGCTCTCGAAGCTTCCCAAAAACGCTCAAGCTCGTTTCTGTACTTCCACCATATACCGCATAAACTCGATCTGTCGCCTCATTCCATCAGAACATTGCACAACTCGCCATGTCAGCCAGATTGATAATGTCAGCATTGGGCCGTAACGTCGCGTCGAGCAGCAGACAAGCTTCACGGCTGTCATTATCCCAGCAGGTAGCTGCTCCACGCTCAGCGTCAGCCCAGCTGCGATCACAATCACTGTTGCACGCACCTCGATCCATCAACTCAACATCATCTCATGCTGCGCCTCGTCTTCAGCAACGATGGTTCCGCACGGCACCTACGCTGCACAATGACCGATCACGAATCGAAGCATTCATCCCCGAGACCTCCCCCTCAGCCGACTCTCACGCATCCAAGACGCCTTCCAGCGACGAGTCAGCAGCACCCATCCCAGTAACCGGCGAACGCACACCCATTGGTCATATCGAACAGCGTCTCGCCATCACATTCACCTGCACCGTAGACGCGTGCGGCCACCGAAGCTCACACGAGTTCTCGAAAAGATCCTACACCAAGGGCATCGTCATCGTCCAATGTCCAGGCTGCAAGAATCGCCACCTGATCGCCGACAACCTCTCCTGGTTCACAGAGAATGAGGGCGAACCCAGGACCATCGAACAGATGATTGAGGCCAAAGGTGGCAAAGTCAGAAGAGGCACTGTGGATGGCGAAACGGGAGAGACGATCGAGATTCTTTCTTAGCCATATACCTTTCACAGCGCTTCGATAAATCAGGCAAAAGATGATGTAGGAGATCTCCGACTTTTATACCAGATCGACCCTACAATCGAGTTTTCTTTCTAGACACAATCATCGTGGAGCTTCTTGGCTACCGCTAACGTGTTTTCCTCTCGCAGCCTCTGACCTACCACCTGCAAGCAGATCGGCAGGCCGTCGACCTCTTCCGGCTTGTACTGGTTCCAGACCTTTCTATCGCTCTCGTTCTTGGCCTGGAAACCAGTCGGAGCCGCATCTAGGCTCTTGTCGACGGTCACGCCACGGAGTGGCATGACAACAGCCGGCATGTCCATGAGATTCCAGCAGCCAGTGTAAAAGATGTGGTGGTACGCATCGTGCGTCGTCGTCACTTCGGCGGCTACGGGCGACACGATAGCATCAAAGTGCTTGCCCCCTACCAGTTGCTGGATGCGCGAGAGCAACTCGGTCTGCCACGCAGAACGTTTGGCCTGCGACTGCCACATGTTCTTGACGCTCAGCTCACGGCTTGGGTCGGTCTCGGAAAGACCTTTCACCCAATCGATGTGCTCGCCAGAAGATTCCATTATCGAGTGCACAGTGGCGCCTCCTTCGGCACGGAAGAAAGTCTCGATGTGGCTCAGTCCGCGCGCGAATAGATCCGCATCTGCGGCGTTGCTCGAGGCGTCCCACTCGATCACCTTGTGTCCCGCAGCACGCAGCTTGGCGACAGCATGCCTCATAGCTCGCTGCAGTGGTGGCGTAGGCGTGCAAATGCCATTGTCGGTCAACATGAGCAAGGTGAGCGAAGCAGGGAGCGATGCCGCAGCCGTAGAGACTGGCGTCCAGGGGATAGGAAGGCACTTGGGATCGGAATGCCATGGCTCCGCATCCACCACCGTCTTTGCATAGATTTCGAGCCCCTCAAAGTCGTTGCACATGGGTCCGTTGATGGACAGTACGGCCTCTTGGCCTGCCAGCCCGCTCTTGCACTGCGCAGTCGGGAAGCGGCCGAACGAGGGCTTGAGGCCCCACAGACCCGCGAAAGAACACGGAATGCGGATGCTGCCCCCGATGTCGGTGCCAATGCCCAGCGGACTGCCTCGCATCGCAAGCAGCGCCGATTCACCTCCCGAGCTTCCGCCTGGTGTCAATCTTGTGTTGGCCGGGTGGAGGGTACGTCCGTTTGCGTTCGAAACCGTCTCGGCGATCATCATGGCAGTGGGAGTCGCAGTCTTGCAGTACAGCACACTTCCCTGCTCGCGCAAGAGCTTCACCAGCGCCGAGTCGTGGTCCGAGGCGTCGACGATCCACGCGACAAAGCCGAGGTTCGAACTTTTGCCCTTGAGGTTGAAGTTGTCTTTGAGACTGATGGGTAGGCCAGCGAGCGGGCCGACGTGTTGGCGGGTGATCTGGTACTGCTCGTCGAGCTGCCTTGCTTGTGCGATGGCCTCGTCAAAGAAGATCTCGGTGAGACAGTTTGTGAGCTGATGCGCGATAGCGGCACGCTTGCAGAACGCCGTGGTGACAGCTTCCGACGTCCATTCGCGAGACTGCAGCTTGGCAAGTAGGCCGGCTGCTGGTGTCTCGGTGATCTTGAGCTCGTCTGCGCTCAAGATGCCGCACGAAGCTGGGATTGAGCGCACATCGCTTCCGCTGTTCTCGTCGATGTGGTCCAGAATCGATGAGGGAAGATGCCATGCCGAAGGGATGCTGGTGAGTCGAGATCGCACCTTAGCTGCAGCCTTCTCTCGCCACGTCGCTGAAGTTGACGAAGACGAAGCAGCAGCAGGGGCCGACACTTTGGCTGTGCCGTTCGATGCGGGCAAAGAGGAGGATGCGATGGCTGCAGGCATCTTCGGTGGTGGGGGGCGGACGGGACGATCACTGACGCGATGTTGATGACGATGAAATGAGGAAAGATGAAGAAGTGGTAGTCAAGCGAGCGGGTGCGAATGGGGTTGCGGATTAGGAGTGGAAGTTCGGCGATCCGCTTTATATCACCCTTGTCCTTCGCGCCTCTGTGCGAGCGTGACGAGACCGCAGGACAACCGGGTGAATTCATATAGCCGACATTGTCAGCTTGCTCACGCCACGGTCACAAGATACAGAACAATCTCGGTCCGCATCTCGGTCAATTTCACCAAAACTCTGTGACACCGATGTGCCTTGAGATCAAGCTTGTGTGACGCTGGGCAATCATAGAGAAGCTTATCTCTGCGGAAACCTTCATAATGTATGCAGCGGAACTTCAAAAGTAGCGAAACACAGAGGCACCGCCAAACCTATCTCTTCTCATTGGTATCACACACGCTCGTACCGTCAGAGCCGATTGCCTCGCGAGCGGAAGGTGCATTGCCTGACCTTGTGCGATATCTCGGCATTCAAGCCGGGGCGGGCCACGCATCTGCGCGCTGTTGGACCCGTATCATCCACAAGGTCCCAATTCCGAAAAAAAGAGCCAAAGGGCGGCTCTGTGCAGCCGTGTGCGGAAAATTGTGAGAGTGCATTCGGCTGGCCCGAGCTGCAAGATGTGTCTAATTCCGACGAGACAGACGTGACTTGGTGTTTGGCACAGGTCGGCGTTCAAGGGTCAAACAACTCACGATCAAACACGCGGGGGCAGTGGTAGCATTGTCGCTTGGCTCGCCGCACATGTATTGATGGAGATGGCATGCGTGCGTGATGAGGGAAAGACAGTGTGATTTGCCACTTGCTTTCCTTGGTCTAGCCAGCGAAGACACACGCAGCTGCTAGTCATCGTCATCATTGTCGCCACCTTCCGCGTCTCGACCTAGCCTCTCGTCGCCGCCTAGTAAAGTCCAGGTCTCAAACTCTCTGCCCTTGCCGTCCTTTTTGATCAAGAATTTGCCGCCATCTCCTTGCTCCTTCCACACCAGCTCGCGTGTTCGTCCAAGACTCTCAATCGCCGACACGCGGTCCATCACCGACTCGAGCTTGTCGCCGTAGCCTTCAGATCCGGCGACGCGACGCATGGCCCGGAGTAGCGGCATCGAGTCGGCACGGATGTGGTGATGGCGGTCGATGTGGATGATGTTGAGGTGGTCGAGCTCCATGATGAAGTCCGGGCGAGTCATGACCTGACGTGCTTCTCCCCAAGTGAGGTGTGGATTAGGGACATCGGCACCACGCACGTCAGCTTCCTGGTCCATGCTTGGATCCGTGATGAGCGATTCGGTGAGACGCCTGTGCGCTGTCTCGTGTTCTTCTTCGTCGTCGTCATCGTCATCATCGTCTGCAACGTTGTGAGCATCTTTGGCAGATGCACCGAGCCTAGCGCCCGTCGCGATGCTGGTCTGCTTGTCATCGGCGTCGTCGTCAGCCCTATCGTCATCATCCTTCCTGAGGGCAGCGGTGGTGAAGCGTGTGAGGCCCGGGACTGGCGACGCTTTGGCCTTGAACCAGCCGGCGTCGTTATGCAACTGCGCGGCCAAGCTGCTGTACTGCGGATCCTCCTGCGTGTCCTGGTTGACAAACGCCGGTAGCCTTCCTCCATACTGGTCCAACAGCTCCTCGAGCTCCTGTTGCTTCGTGGCCAGTTCGGAGAAGAGCAGCCAGCTGCACGTCGACCACTTTTGCTCATCCATGACATCGTCGTCGTGATCCTCGATGATGCCCGTTTTGCTGAGAACCCACTGCATGTCATCCTCCACCATCTGCCTTGCCGCCCTGAGCATGTCCTTGCGCCGAGCGACCTTATTGAGCAAACCCAATCGGCCACCGCAGATCTCGTACACCTCTTGAAGCACGCGCGGATCTTGCGACGATGGCTTCTCTCCCCAGTACTGCTTGCGACATCCACGCAGCACGTTGATCGACTGTCGTCGTGTGAGATCGCGGAACGACAGCGTGTCCATGCGGTTCGAGGCTTTGCGCAGCACGTCGTAGACCCAGTAGTCGGCCGTGGTGAAGACGAATGTGGCTGTGCCTGCAGATGCCCACTTCTCGGCGCGCTGCTGGAAGATGTGCAAAAGCTTGGTACCCTCCTCGTCGCGCGGGAGCAAGTGTGCACTGTTCATGACGATGATGGCGGGCTTGCCCGTCTTTTGCTTGCGCGTGATGAGCGCCTTCTCGAGCTTGTGCAGTGCGCGTTCGAGCTGCTGGTAGTACGACATTCCCGAGAGATCCGAGAGACCGAGCAGATTGCCGAGGTAGTCTCGATTGTTGCTGAAGTTGATCGACTCGGAGAAGCGATCGACGACGATGGTGGGGTCGAGGTGAGCATCGAAGAAAGCGCATCCGTCTGCATCGATGGCAGCCATAGCTTCGATGATCGAGGTTGCTTTTCCCGAGCCTTTGCTGCCCATGACGAGGAAATAGCGACCCGCCTCTTTGCCCGAGACGATGCTGCGAATCATTTCGTCCTCCGGTCTTGGTGGGTCAATTCGCACGTGGGCCAGCTGATCTCCGCTCTTTGCCAGCGCAAGGACAGGGTCGTAGCCAGGATCGAAGGCGGCCTCCATCTTCTTTAGGACGTGACGCTTGTACCAAGAGTGGTACACCATCGCAGCGCCGCCGAGCAGAAGAACACCGAAGGATGCACCCATGGCGGTCTCCCAGCCGGTGGAGTTGAAAAAGGTACGGAAGCCATCGTTCGAGTCTTTTTCGGATCTGCTGCCTTCTGACGAGGATGAGCTGGACCGATGCTGCTGTTGCGATTCGAATGCCCGGAGCGATGTGTGAAAGAACGATCTTGATTGCGCCTCTAGCGGGCTTGGATGCAACGCGGGTTGAACAATATGCCGCGGAATGGTTGAACGTAGGTTCGTGGACAAGATGTGCCGGGATGACGCTGACGCTGCAGTTTGTATTAGCAGCACCATCCTGGATGTGACGTCGGTTATGGCCTCTGTCGGAGGTTAGGGAGGAAGGATCACGAGCAAGAGGTACTATGCTTCTTCGTGTGGTTGCGTTGCCCATACTCCCATAATGCTTCTAAAGTTGGCACGAGCTGCAGCGTCTGTCGTCACAGTGTGTTTTGGGACGCACAGAGTTGCAGCACAAAGCTGTGCTGTCAACCAAAAAGCGCCAAGAACGATTATCGCTGCAACGCACGGACATGTTAGATTCAGTTTTGAAATAGAAACCGAGTTCCGAAATTTGCAACTTGGATTTCTGAGAAACGCACGACATCTTGGAAGTTCTTGCTCGGCCATTTGCTGCTCCTTACCACACTTGTCCGCCGCTCGATCATCATCCCGAGCAACAATCGTCATGTCGCTATTCAAGAAGTTCGAACCGAAACCCGACCTGGGTCCGGCAACAGCACTCAAATCTTCAGTGCGTAGGGTGATTCGACAAAAGCTTACCGAGCAATATCCAGCGCTGGCCAAGGATGAAGGGGCACTGCTCGAAGCAGCCTGGCCCAACAAGGCCTCGGTGACGACAATGAAGTTTGCAAGAGAGCATGTGCAGATGTTCATCGCCGAAAAGCAGGTGCTCTTCTTCCAGCACTACGACGATTGGTATCTGCCGAGCTTGAGGCTGTTGCACAAGTGTGAGTCATTGCAGCTGCTTATCTTGTATAGTGGTACGAGTTCGCCTTACTGACTCCTCTCATCTCGCTCTTCATCTTGGTCCCTTTCTTTGAAATGAAGTCCCTGATATGCTTCCGTCAGTACAGGTTGACCGAGGAGCCATCAAATTCGTTCTTTCGGGTGCCAATGTCATGTCGCCAGGCTTGACGAGCGCAGGAGGGAAGCTTCCGGATCCATCAAAGGGCGAAGAACCTCTCAAGAAGGGGCAATGCGTAGCCATCCGAGCCCAGGGCAAAGATGAGATTCTTGCAGTCGGTGTCCTATCGATGGACACGGAGGAGGTGCGAGCAACTGGAAAGGGTATTGCGATAGAAAACATTCACTATCTCGGAGACGATCTTTGGATGACCTTGTCCAAGGGTGGCATCTAAGTCCCGGCTACGCTGTCTACGTTGGACTTGTGTTACATTGTCCCGACCGTCGGCATCGCGCTCCACCTCTTTCGAGATCCTTCTGTTCGTTGTACTCTAGCTCTTTCATCATCAGCATTCCTCGTCGCACCCAGCCTTCAAGCCAATAGCTTTCGGAGATGTGAAAGTCGAGTCTTGTTCCTGTCAGAAAGGGCTTGAATTTGAGGTATAGCAGAGTTCTTGACAGTCGCGAATGCCCCCACAGCCTCGACCATCAATGAGAAACAGAGGAGTGAGCGATTCGCCGTTGAGAGGATCGCCGATTGACACCTCCACTCTGACCGCGAATGGTTCTGATCTCGCATATCCATTTTCGTGCCTCATTTTTGGTCGGACATTTTTGTGGATTTGTTTGTCTCGGCGTCATAAGTCTTGGTCATCAAGCAGTGCCATTGATGAGGGCAGCAGCGCTTTGAACGGGATGCATTCTTCCAACCAGCTCATTCAGCATCCTCTCCATCACTTACAGCTTGGACTCACTCAGCACCGCTATGATCGCGTCCACATCAAGGTGCATGACCTCTGCGCTGAGGTCACATGTGCAGTCGTTACGTACGTCCACAGCGGGCAACGGCTCCCATACTCGGCTCCTCTCATCATCCCAGACGAAAGATGTGAATTCGAGACGGATGCTCTCATCGAGCTCAGCGTTGGCAGCTCACTTCGACCAGTCGGGCGCGGCTGCATCATCATCGAGCAGAACAGCTCCACCTGCATCAACGCAATTATCACCGCTGCAATCTCCTCATACCTACCTTCTAGAAGAACTTGCCAGGCGCGACCACCCATCCTACTTGGCACATCACTTCTACCCCAAGCATCTGCAGACGCACTTTGCAGCCATCCGAACGTTCAACGTCGAAATTGCTGGGCTCAAGGATACGGTTTCCAACGAGCTGCTGGGCCGCATGCGAATGGGATGGTGGAGGGACGCCGTTCAGGGAGCATACCAGAACCGTCCAGCCAAGCACCCGGTGGTGCTCGCTCTGCGCGATGCGTTCCAGGATTCGGCCGTGCAGTCCAACGCTGCTGGCGGCTTGATGCTCGACCACTTCCTGCGCATCATCGACGTGCGCGAGGCTGATCTTAGCGACGACTTCCAAGCCCCTTCGCTCGAATCACTCGAATCGTACGCCGAAAGCACCTCCTCTCGCCTCCACTATCTCTCACTCAACCTGCTCGGCGTACGCAGCGACGCCATCGACGAGCTCTTTTCTCACCTCGGGAAAGTCTCCGGTCTCAGCCTCGCCATCTCCAGCATACCTTACCACACGCACCCACCCCCGCACACGCGCAACTCGATCACGAAGGGTGCACGGAAACTCGTCCTCCCACGCGAATTCGTGCACGAGCACAAGGTCGTCGAAGAAGACGTCTTCCGCAACGGCCCCGAAGCTCAAGGTTTCCGCGACGCTGTCTTCGCCCTTGCGACTCGTGCGAACGACTATCTGATCACCGCACGCAAGATCATCGACGACGAGTTCGGCGGAAAGCTCCCAGCCGCGGTCGTCCCTACACTGGTCGGCGTCGTTCCCGCTAGATCGTACCTGGAGAGATTGGAGAAGGCCGACTTCAACCCGTACGACGCTTCATTGCAGAGTGGCAAACATTGGAAGCTGCCTTGGAATATGTGGCGCACCAGTCGGAAACGCACCATTTAATCACATTATTGATACCATTTGCATTACATTGTTTGCATCACAACAGTGCAGTTCCGATAGCTTTTCACATGTGGGTCGACGTCCGCTGTAGGTAAGATCCTAGTTCGGCATCTACGCGACTCTGCTGCTGCTGCCTCTGACATTGCATGCCGATAGTCAGAACGCACATCCCCTTCGACCTCATCATTGCTGCTTCTTCGCGCGGATCTCGTCGACGAGCTTGTTGCCCCAGAAGCCCTTTCCGATCACCTTGCGACGTTGCTTGATCATGTAGGTGTACATGACGTAGAGACCAGGCCACCAGATGACAAATAGACCGGCGAACACGTACGCCCGCAGGTCCCAGGCGCCTTGCTTGTTGAAGGGAAGACTGTTGGGGAGCGTAGCCAGGATGCACATGGCTTCCGAACCGGCACCGATGGGGTAGAGGACGTAGAAGAAGGTGTATCGAGCCCAGAGCATAGCAGGACCTTCTTGGTCGAGAAGCTGGTTGGCGTAGAAGGGATATCGAACACATTCAGTGATGGCCCAAGCGAGCACCATGGTGGCATAGAATGGGCTCGACCACGCTTGCGAGTAGCGCTCGGTGACGCCCCAAACCATGAATAGACGCGAGGCAACCTGTGTGGCGGTGGTGACGACGGGGCTCCTGACCCATCCGATAGCGGCGTGGACCACCTCGAGAACGGCGAGCGACTGAACGAGTGCAACGACGGAGCCGACAAAGGTGTGCGAGTTGGAGGCGCGTTCGAGCAGCCGCGCGACGGGCTCAGGGAAGAGGTGCGAATACGACTTGACGATGCCGATCTTGACCAGACGGAAGCGCGCCAAAACATCAGCGGCAAGCCTGACAGGCGGCGAGAAGGGCTGTGGTCCATAAGCAAGGTGCTTGATCAACGTAGAGAGCACGACCACCCATCCAAAGAACGAGACAAAGTTGAAAACGATGAGGTAGTATTTGATGGCTGGAGGCGGCCCACGCTTGGCGGGCTTGCCATTGGCGGGAGCCTTGGTGCTGATGGAGGCCTTGGGCGGCATCGTGTGGGAGACGGCCAATATTGCAATCGTTGGACTGGATCAAAGGTGGTGGATGGAAGTCGGATGGAAGGTGGAGCTGAGCGATTTGGTTCCCGCACATCAAAAGTTGACGTTCCAGCTTTGGCATCGCACGGACGCGTCTTTTGTTTTCGCAGACACTGTTAGGTCTCGAATTGTTCATAGCAGGTCTTGCATTTCGAAACGTTCCGCATAGATGAATCAGGTCAACAACGCAACCTTGAAAGTTACGAATTTTCGAGGAAACTGAGGCGGCGGCAACCTGTGTGTTGACTCTGACGTTGTGCACCTCAGCGGAGGCTAAACAAACAGAGACGCCGACAAGTTTCACAAAAACCTGCCGGCGCAGTCTGGCCTCAAGAAGCTGCAGATAGCCACAATCAACCTCTTAGGCAGTTTGGCCACACCATGCTGTGTTCCGATAGCTTGGCGCCCTAACTTGACCCTTTCACTCTTTGTACAGGCTGCAGATCACAGTGTTGAGATGGTGACTGTGCCGGTGAACCCCATGAATCTCCCGTCACTTTTCCCCACTCACGTCTTTGTAGCTTTTGTTTCGAGTACTGTCGATACAGCCCGTCTCCCCATCCTCCATCATCGTCTTTGTGTCGACGACAAAGCTCACTCTCACCACCATCGCCCAAAAGGCTCGGCTCGGGATTCAATACGCCAGCACCATCCACATCAAATCGACTTCACCGCTGCTCGCCGCTCTCGGCTGCGACAACACACATACTTTCGTTATGCGCATCTGATCCGTTCTGTCCACCGTAGATCGTCGCAACTCTCCAACCCCAGCATCGATCTGCCCGCATTTCCCCTTGATCTCTTCTCCTCCTCTCTGCTCTCTCACAGATCACTACGATGACGCCTCGACGGCCTTCGCTCGGTTCGTCGCGATCGTCGCCCATCATCGAATCATCATTCTCCAGACGCACATACTCTCCACTGAAAGTGTCGGCCATCATGGACGAGCCCACTCGTCCTTACCATGTCAGGAGACGCATAAGGCGAGCTTCGCAACCAGCCGAACTATCACAAGCACCAGTGCGCTTCCGATATGACCCTCGCGACGCTCCTGGTGAAGGTTTCAGCAGCGCAACAGCCACCGCCACAGACTCGGGTTCGTCCGATGACGACTGGGATCCATCACTCTTCCGTCAGCACCATCAGCCATTGACATCGCTCGAGTACCTCGACCTTCCCGCATCGTTGCCGTATTCGATCGTCTCGCTGCGAGCCCAGCTCTTGTCGTATCTTACCGAGCTCGAAGTCAGAGCACGTTCCTTCTATTCCGAGCGCATTTCCGGGTCAGCGTCGACATCGGCAATTGACGATGACTCTCAGGCATCAGCCGTCGCAAGCACATCTGCGACAAGGATCGATGAGCAAGACTCTGATGTAAAGGCAGCCTGGATCGACAGTCATTCGGCCGCCTTCTTTCAGCAACTCGAGGCCATGCGGGAAGATCTGAGACGCCTTGTCGCGCTTCTGCCCAGCTATCCAGCCTCGGCATCGTCGGCGCTCGCTTCTCGATCACAGTCACTTGCGCACGACTGGGAACGACTCTCATCCAGCTTTGCTCTACCCATCAGTCTCGGCAATGGGTTGAGGGAGCGATTGCCACGCCTTCCTTCCTCCACCGACGCGGCACGTCTCAGAGCCGAACTCCCTGCGCTGCCCGCCATGCCTTCCTTGCCTCAATTTGATCTCGACTTTGCATCAGTACTCGAGCCCTTATCGACACAATTGCCATCACAGGCCTATGCACTGGCTGCCAAGATGCAAGCAAGGCTCGAGTCTATCCAGGAGTCGGTACGCAACATGGCCTGGCGTGACGCTCTGCAGAATGCTGCAGAAGACGGCAACAGCGCCAGTTTGGCGCAACGTTTCGAGGCCAAGTTCTCTGACCTTTCGGCACGCTCCCGGTCGCGCGCTAACAGCATTGCGTCTCGTGCCGGTCACGCTGTCCACGAAGCAGAGGAGAAGCTGTACCAGATCGCCAAGGATCTCGCACGCAATGGCCAGGAGCTTATCCACTACGAGCATCTGCCCGCCTTCTTCCGCAACAACGAGCACATTCTTTCCGGCTATCGCTTCATCCCTGTTGAAAACTGGCAAGCGTTGCTTCGCAGCACTTTCCAGATCCACAACGAGACGGGCAATATTCACACCCATCTGTGGGGTCTGGCAGCTATCGTGCCGCTATTTTGGCCTAGCAAAGGCCTCGATGACCAGACGACACCGATGGATAGGCTGGTACAGACCGTGTACCTGCTTGCTGCTGCCAAGTGTCTCACGCTCTCGGTGTCGTGGCACGTCATGGCAGGATGCTCGGATCGCAAGTGGTTCGAGCGATTCGCGTGCGTCGACTACACTGGCATCGCCTGGCTCGTAGCCGCTTCGATCTGGACCACAGTGTACAACTGCTTCTACTGCCAACCCAACTTGGCGCTCTTCTACTCGTTCACCACGCTTGTTGTCGGACTCGCCGGCGCCATACTTCCGTGGGCAGAGTGGTTCAACAAGCGCGAGAACAAGATGTTGCGCATCGCCGTCTTCCTGACCATGTGCGCTACGGCCTTGGCTCCGTTCACACATGCGGCTTTCGAGCACGGTCTGGGCAAGACGATGGTTTTCTTCAGCCCCATCTTCCCGTCGTTGGCGTTCTACATCGGCGGTCTGGTATTCTACGCGACGCAGTTTCCCGAGAGTTGGGCGCCTGGCCGGTTCGACACATGGGGTCACTCGCATCAGCTCTGGCACATTGGAATCGTCTTGGCCATCGTGTTCCACTATCGCGCTGCGCTCGTGTTCCACGCCAACCGCTTCGAGTTCAGCTGCGCTGTTCCGGGCGCCAACACGCCTGCGGGCGTGGCGGCGTCGGATCCGTCATCGGCAGCGACATCTCTGTTGCAGCAAGCGTTGAACTTGCTGGCCTGGACAAGGCCTTGGAGCGCAACAGGCAAAGCGGCGACCAAGGTGACGCAGCCGATCGACTCGATGTTCGCCAAAGTCGGAGGAATGGAGGGCATCATCGGCCTGGCTCGCGCCGACAATCAGATCTTGCAGTGGAGGAGGTTGCTGGGCAAGATTGGAAACGGCGCAGTTGGACGTGGATGGGATGCGCTCGTCGACTGGGCTCAGAACTTTTGGTGACGGATGTCGTCCTCGTCAGCAGCATGGGTTGCATTCGTTGGATCTGGAATTGTACGATGCTACAACCTGCTTCTCATCCCACATTCATTTCCTGGTCATCAGTGAGACGTGCACCTCGAGAACTGCCGGCCTTGCCGAGTCTGACGGCAAACAAGTGCCGTATGCTTCTGGAAGACTTGTCGTCGGGTCGCTTGAGCTTGTATTGCAGAGCATGGTCCGAAGCGTCGGAATCTTGACATTGTCGGGTGACGGAAGAGGGCCGATTGGCTTGCTTGTTGCTCCTGCGGGGCGGGCGAGTCGACCAGGTTTACAAACTCGAGCTTTGTAATGCTGGACGACATGCGGGGGGGGCTGGATCATGCACCGGCTGCATGTCTCGTTTGCCGGCCTTGCGGAAAAGCGCGCAGTGTGCTTTTGCGGGGGTCGAATTTGGTTTCCATTACGAAGTCAAGGTCGCGTAACTTTAACTCTCTTTTCTCTCTTCCTTGTGCCTGACACTCTGAGCGCGATCCTAACACTGGCCGAGAGGATCGAAGCGACGACACATGGTAATGGCGAATGTAGTGGGTGGGTTCCGGATGGTCGGCTGCAATCAGCAACCGTGTCGGTCAGTGTCAAAGTCACGCAGCCACTTATGTCTACAGTGGGTGTGAAGGAGACCGAAGCAGTCACGGAAGCGGTTGGTGGGGGACCGTCTCTTGGTATCAACGAGCAGTGACAGGCGGAGCATGGGTAGGCAACTATGACGAATGAGGGACAGAGGCGGAGCAGCATTACCGAGTCGTGGCATGGTCATCACCCGAGGCGGTCAGTGCAGCCAACCATTTCTACATTTTCGGATACGACGGCCATCGGGATCAAGGCAAGTCGGGCTCTGCTGTGCCTTTTTGGTGCTTTCGCAGTCGTCGGTGCTGCTCGCCTGACCGTTGCAACCGACAAACGAGCGTGCAGCGGGTCTGTTTTTTTACGCCGTGACATCCAGAGTGGGAAGCTCTGATGAAACCCTGCTCGTTCGCCGTGGCCCTGACGCTGGGCCCGTCTGCGCGTAAACCTCATCGTTGGCTGCAGTGCAGCCTCTGCTTGGAAATGCGGAAAACGTTGTCTCGCCAGTCAAGTGTCAGGCTCGCTTGGACCCCGCAATTTTCGCTCGAGGTTAATATCCCCGGCTCCTCGATGCCGCTGGTGAAGGAAGCGGCGAAAGCTACAAAAGGGCCCAGCTTTCATCATCGTTCTCCCCGACTACCCCGACCATCTCGTACGCTATCCACCCGACCTCCCGTCTTCCCAAGCGGAGACTACGAGGACTTCTGTTGTAGATCGATACCTCTCGCACACGAGGCAAATCCACTGCCATGGTCGAAACCGACCTGCTTCCCCGCATTGGGGCCGCGCTCCAATGGGCGATCGAGTCGCCGTCCCACATTGCCATCTCAGTCATCGGCGCGATCGTCCTGTTCCATCTGGTTCCATACATCACCAACACCGCCATCATCAAGTATCCCGGACCTTTCCTCGCCAAGTTCACCGACTTTTGGCTGATGAGGACCGCCATGGTCGGTCACCGTTTCGAACACGTTCACAAGCAGCATCAGAAGTACGGTAAGTGGTACATCGTCATGTGCTCTCCTTTGCACGCTTCCTGTGCTGACCGTTCTGCTTCGTCTTGTAGGCAAATTCGTGCGTATCGCTCCCAACCACGTCTCCATCGCCGACCATGAGGCGCTGCAGCCCGTCTACGGTCATGGTACCGGCACGCTCAAGCCCGCCTACTACGACGCCTTTGTACCTCCTAAGCCCTTCCCACGCGGCCTGTTCAACACGCGTGATCGTGCCGAGCACACGCGCAAGCGAAAGATTGTGTCGCACACGTTTGCACCCAAGACCATCATTGCTTTCGAGCCGTTCATCCGACGAGAGGTGCAGCTGCTGCTCGAGCGATGGGACGAATTCTGCGACAAGGCGGCCAAAGACAACAAGGAGAGTCCTCGAGGAATCAAGGGTCGTGCATGGCTCGATTCGCTCATGTGGCTCAACTACTTTGCGTTTGACACGATCGGTGCACTCGCCTTTGGCAGCACGTTTGGCATGCTCGAGAACGGTGTCGACGAAGCCAAGGTCGAGTACGAGGATGCCAACGGAAACAAAAAGGTTGACTACTGTTCTGCCGTCAAGATCATCAACGAGCGTGGCGAATACTCGGGCACGATGGGACTGGCGCCTGTTTGGTTGCGACCGTATCTGCTCAAGCTGCCCTGGTTTTCCAAGAGGTTGACGTCGGTCAAGAAGCTCACTGGTATTGCGCTTGCTCGAGTCAATGATCGTCTGCAGAATGGATCGGAACGAGAAGACTTGCTGGCCAAACTGCAGTCTGCCAAGGACGACCGAGGCGAGCCGATGGGCAAGATGGAATTGACCGCCGAGGCACTCACCCAACTCATTGCTGGATCCGATACTACGTCCAACACCTCGTGCGCCATCGTTCACCACCTGGCCACCCACCCCGACAAGATGCGAAAACTGCAGGCCGAGCTCGACCGCGAGTTGGAGCACGCCGAGGACGTTCCGCTGCACAGCGACGTTCAGGAACTACCTTATCTGCAGGCGGTGCTGAACGAGTCGCTGCGATTCCACTCGACATCAGCCATCGGTCTTCCTCGCGTCATCCCCGAGGGAGGAGCTACGGTTTGTGGTGAACGCTTCCCCGCTGGCACGATCCTTTCGGTACCCGCCTTCACGCTGCACCGCGACAAGTCGGTGTTTGGCGAGGACGCGGAAGAGTACAACCCGGATCGATGGCTCGCGCCTAACGCCAAGCGTGATTTCGAGAAAGCCTTCATTCCGTTCTCCGTCGGACCTCGTGCATGTGTTGGACGCAACGTGGCCATGATGGAACTGTCGGTGCTGATCGCTGCCATCTTCCGCAGGTACGACATTGTCCTCGCTGAGCCGGAAAAGCCGCTCGAGACGTTTGAAGGTTTCCTGCGTAAACCGGTCCAGCTCGAGATTGGACTCAAGCGACGCACTTGATCCGCCGCACCACCTTCTTGTCAAGCTAGTCTCACTGCGCAAAAATATGTTGATCCTACGGTGACTCCCTTGGGCAGGTTTGAGCGAGTAGCTCGTGTGACATGTGCGAAGGAGCCTGTGCATCCGACTTTTGTTCGATTGTGTTTGTGAGTTTGTTACCTAACACTTCGGAAACGATGAAAAATAGCCCAAGGAGATGATTGCACAGCTATGCGGTCTAACAAAGCTGGCCAATTCAGTAGCTCAGGCACGTTCTCCGCCTTCGAGACAATTTAGCCAAGGCAACGTGGACACGTCCAGAGAAGCTTGACGAGCGCGACTGACACTGGGCAAAATTCGCGGAGGGGTTCTAGTGGGGCTGGAGCGCGAAATTCATGTCGTGCCAGGTCGGCTGGAAGCACCGTCGCTGTCGACGCCGAGCGGCGCTAGACGAGTCAAAGAAAGGAGCTGCATGTAGGGTTCAGTCATGACATACTGGACGCCTTTGTTTTTCTCGGTGGACCATCGGTGAATTCGTGCCGGGATCTGCGTCCAAGTCGACGAACAGGCACAATACAGATGCAACGGCGTCCCAGATTGCACACAATCGCTCTGAGGTTTTTTACGAGGTTCGAAACCGACATGCATGTCGAGGTTAGCACGGCTTGGCTCGCACCGCCATCAGCTCGTGGTGGATTGGGACAGCGGTACTGGAGAGTATAGACCGGACGGGCAGCGCACTGAGCGAGCGTTGTGAATGCGCGGTCTAGACGTGCTACGGGATGTTTGACGGGCTTGACCTCGTCAGGAGGTGCCATCCGAAGCGTCGATCAGGCCTGAACTCTGTTGCCGTGGTTCGCTGTTTTGCCGCTTCGGCTTGCACTGTGCGTTCTTTGTCGTGGCTCGCCGAACGCGGGGTGAGAAAAAGGCTGTCAGATGGAAGCCGGTCGGGCCGCCAAAAAAGGTGCAGCTGAGCTGCGGCTTGACCCTGCATGCAGCTGCCCACCTGCTCAACCAATGCACCTCGACCACCTCGGCGGCCCATTCTGGATCACGAGACCCGAACATGGCCTCGCAATCCCAACAATACTGTAAGAGGACACTGCGCCTGGATAGATAGGGGAGCATCTGACACTGTGACAGAACGAGTGTGGGCTTCGGGAACATGTGTGATAGCTGCGATGAGAGCGGACAGGCGGCCCAGCCGATTGTTGTCTGAAAAGACTCTGAAAAATTTCGGAACAGCCGAATGATGAAATTATTGTATCCGTGATGCCAGACAGGTGGAGTGTGGAAGAACGTCACACACAGTCGCGGTGGGCCACCAAAAATTGAGGCTGACACTTGGCGGTGAGCACGTTCCGTGGCAAAGAGCTGTCACGTTCCCTCTTGCCGGTACGAGCAAGATGCTATCCTTGCTCACAACACATCACCTACTCACCCTTGGCTCTGCTTGTTGCTTGGGCTCACACCTCTACTCGGCAAGCATCCTCGCTCCTGTCCATCAACTTCTTCCCCTCCAATCCTTGGCCACGTCGCAGGCTCTGGCAGCTCTCCAACGCCTTGACCACCCGGGTCGCACGATCTACTCACAGCACCTTGTCGTGTGCCTCTTACCTTACTCCATCATCCACTTTCCCGACCTCGCAGTCAGGAGAGTCGTGCTGTTGCCAACCTGGTACTGATCGCAGCCTCCATCTATCTGCTCTGCCACCGTCTCTACCCTACCATCGCATCACGCCGCAATTCGCCGCTGCCCGCCATGCGTCCCATCACTAGGTCTGCCAAGATGGACATTCGACCCGACATGCCCGAGTGCTGGGGTCACCGTGGTGCATCCGCCACCTTCCCGGAGAACACGATCGCCAGCTTCGAAAAGGCCATCCTCGACGGCTCCGAAGGTCTCGAGACCGACGTTCACATCACCACCGACAACGTCATTGTCATGTTCCACGACCCATCGCTAGAAAGGACCACCAACGGGAAAGGTCTCATCTACGAGCGTCCTTACTACGGTGACGATGGCATCGAGCACCTCCGAACCCTCAAGCAGCCCGCTCAACAGATCCCAACCTTCGTACAGGTGTGCGACCTGCTCATGCGACCGGAGCACAAGCACGTCAAGCTCAATCTCGATATCAAGCCCGACAACGATCCAGATCGCCTCTTCCCACTCATGCGCAAAGTCATCGAATCCTACCCCAACTTCGACACAGACCTCGCACCGCGGCTCATCCTCGGTCTCTGGCACCCCAAGTTCCTCGAATCCGCGCTCATCAACGTCCCCTCCATGAAGCGCATCCACATTGGCGCCTCGCCACGAGCGGCACGCAAATACTTCTGGTACGACTGCACCGGCTTTTCCATGTACTTTGCTTGCCTGGTCGGTACCGATGGGCAGCAATTCATCGCCGATGCGCAAAAGGCAGGAAAGGACATCTACGTCTGGACCGTCAACCGCAAAGACGAGATGATCGAGGCGACAAGGTGGGGTGTCAAGGCCGTATTGACCGACAAGACGGCGCTGTTCCAGGACGTGCGCAAGAACATGACGAGCGATTTCGCCACCACACGTCAAGACGAGGTGGGCATGTTTTTCCGTTGGGCCACTTGGAGGTACTACGCCTTGCCGCAATTTGTCTTGCAAAACATGTGGTTGGCGAATATCGAAAAGCGCGCCGGTTCGCCATTCCGCGAGATTGTCGGCGCTGCTGAAGCTGATGCGAATGCACACGCCCCAACTTCGACTTTGCCGGTGTCTTCAAATCTGTCGGAGAAGAACAAGCTCGGCTCAAACTTTGCGCAGCCGTCTATCGCTATCAATGCTGCTGCATGATGGATCTTTCCGCCTAACTCTTGCATCAACACGCATCTTCACTCGATATGGCATAACCTACGGACATTCTTCCCTCACTCGACCCTGGCTCACATTGCATCTTCCAGTCACCGTCCCCCTTACATCTCTCCTGTCTCGAAAGCATCCATAGATTTCCACGCTGCACAGCATGGTCGCGTCTTGTTGCCTTTTATCACGATCTGATCATTGATTGATCGGTCCCTCTAATTCCATCATTCTTGACTCGTTCTTGACCCACCAATTCAGCTTGAAATCGTGCAATGCATATGTGCAAGTCGAGACGCGAGCAGAAGATTCGAGACCGCTGGTGTGTATTGACGATTTCACTCACGTCGAAGTCCAGACTCAATCTTACAAAGTTGAGCAGCGTGGATCAATGCGTTCAATGGCGTGAAGGTCGTTACATTAGCGAAAGGGGGGTATATAATGGTATCGCAGCAGGTAACTAGTCCAAGGAGACGCGCGAAGCGGTAGGTTTGACTTGATGCGAGTCTGCCAGTGTTGTGTACGGGCTGGGCAGCTGCTGTTGCTGAGGGTAGAACTGTTGCGACGGAGGTCGTGCGGAGTGGATTGGGCTGGCTGGTTGGAGGCTAGCTGGGATGTTTTGAGTGGCGTGCGGAGGTTGAGGTGCGTAGACCGGGCCGTTGCCCGGGCTGGCAGGGGTCGGCGAATGCATGGCGTAGGACTGAGCGACAGCGCTGGCTCTTCGATCGGCAAACGTCATCTCGCCAGATGGCGAAGCGTACATAGGACTCTGCACTGCCCCTCCTCCCAACCTAGGATCCGGCCCTCCGTTCATCATGCCATTCTGTCCCTTTTCCCCTCCGTTACCATTCTCTTCATCATCCAGATCCAACACCGCCGCTTCGGCATCATCGTTCGCTGCACCCACTCCAGGCCCACTTCGACTCTTCCTCTGCCTGTGTACGCCTGCAAACCTTCCAATCGCATCGTGTGCGGGCTTCAATCCTTTGTGGAAGTTGAACAAGCAGATCAAGCCGTTCAAGAGCGTCAACCCTAGACTGGCGCACGCAAACCCACTGATGAAGGTGATCGTGGTATGGACGTACGTATACTCGTCCCTCGTACTCGGCAACCAAACCTGGGTCAACTTGAACACAAAGTACGCCATCCCTGCCATCATGAGGAGCAGCGAAAGCACCATCAGACTCGTCCATTCGCGTCTCACCGCGAATCCAGCCGCGAACAGTGCGACCATAGCAATCGGAACTGCTGCGATCGTCACACCGTACTCCCAATCCGTAGTCTGAGCGACCAAGATGAGGTAGATGACGGTGAAACCGACGCCGAAGAAGAAGGCGAACTTGAGGAAGACGATGAAGAGCTGGTACCAGAAGAACATCCTTCGTACGCGCAAGTCTGCACCGATCTTTTGGTAGATGACCCAACCGAACTCCTTCCAGAGTTTGAAGGTGAGGTAGATGAGGAAGAACTCGATGACGAAGCAAACACCTGTTACGGCGATCAGGTACCTTTCCACCGAAGGGAAAAGCGAGTTTGCTCGACACAGCCGATTCGGATCGTCTGGACACGGAAACCCACCGGCTACGCGGTCCTGAGCGTTGAGCGCGTCTCGTACCTGCCTGATCTCGATCGCAGCCGTGGCTGTCAAGGCCAGATTGAAGATGAGAACTCCGATCAGCTGCATGGTGTTCTTGAGTCGAACCGCATCCCACGAGATGAGCACCTGGAACACGCATCCGAACACAAAGACCGCCAAGTAGACAGAGACTGTTTTGAGGTTTTGAGATAAGTTGTCCACCTGCGTGACGATGCGAACGAAGATGAACGTGACCAAGGTGATGACGATCGCCGCTTCGATGGCGGTGACGACGAGGTAGAGGAAAGCGTTCCGGGAAGGAACTCGGATGAACGAGTTCGAGTCGCCGTACAACCAAGATGTTCCGCCGCTACTACGATTTGATTTGGAGATGGAGGCGGCGCCATCGCGATTGTTCGAGTGTTTGGCGGAACGAGCCTCTCCAGCGGTACCCTTGCGTGGCACTCCAGGAGCTGCGGCAGGTGCGGGTAAAGGCGTGGACGGAGCTGGAGGTTCTTGAATGACCAGTGTCGATGCCGGCGGTGCACTATTGATGGGTGGAACACGTTCGTAGCCAGCAGCAGCAACTGCACCATTCGAGACAGCATGAGGCGGCGGAGAGAAGGACGCAGATGGTGCACGAGGTGGAGGCGACATGCTGCTCCTATACGCAGATGCGGACGAGAACGGCTCGGTGGTAGAGTGCTGCATGTGTGGAGTCGGAGAAGCTGGATACGATTCGTACGAGGTCGACCCCATCGATGTTGCGCTCTGCATCGTCGCCGGTCTGTCCTCTGGAGCAGGTCGAGCGGGACCTGGTGGAAATGGTGAGACGCTCATCTTAAGTGAATGCCTCTGCAGAAAGGCAGCCGAGAGACTAAGTTTCCATCCGATGGATCGCAGTCTAGGGTGGGAGAGACGAGGTCGGTCTCAGTAGTGGGTGGTGAAGAAGGTGAAGCGATATCAGCATCGACCTCGCTTGGACGGATGGATCTAGGTGAGCGGAGTTGGACAGGCATGGTTGGTTGGCTCAAAACTGTATGCGGCTGAATGCATACTGTACACAGCACGCAGCGTCGATGAAACAAAAGTCCGATTTCCAATTTTAGATATTTCTTTCTTTCCCGGCGCTTTCCCCATCGGTTGCCCTCGGTTGCAGGCACGCTCTCTACCAAGTCTCCTATTTCATGTCAGATCAAGAAATCACCGATTCGTCCTTTTTAGACAGTGACCGTTGGTACCCGATTCGCAGCCGACTGAAGCGCAACACCGGTTCGGAAGAGGCGGGAAAAGGCGGAGTGAGTCCGACGCACAGGCGCTGCTGGAAAAGACGTGTTTTTGTGCAACACTCGCTCATCAACCCCGCTTTTCTTCTCACCATCTTCCATCCTTCGACGGCATAGACCGGGCAATTCACCGACACGATGACTGCAGGCGTAGTGCACCGCTTGGTAGGCTCATCGCTGCCTCTACTCGTGCAGCCCGCTCGCCAGGTCGGCGGCCGGCGCCTTGCACGCGCCAGACCAACCTTCTCGTCACTCACGTCATCGCAGGAGCCTGCCGGTATCGCTGTCCGCTCATCGAGTCCCCGCAAACCCTCTTCAAGAGCATCCAGCTCTTCCAGTATCCTCGGCAGGTCATTTTCCAGCTCGACTTCATCACTCTCGGCTGCCAAAGCTGGCAAAAGCAAAGCAAGCACACCCATCCAACGTTATGACCAGCTCGTTCAGGACGGCGTTCTACGAGACGACACTCATCAGCGAAACATTATCAAGGTCCTCCAGTCTCTGCACGACAAACTCAAGACCTACAAGCAAGGAGACGTTCCGGATCCGGAAGAACATCTCCAAGCGTCAAAAGGCTTACTCTCATGGCTGCCCTTTGGCAGAAAGTCGAACGCTCACGAGATCCCCACCATCTCAGAAGACATCCCAAAAGGCCTTTACCTGTACGGCGACGTTGGCACCGGCAAGAGCATGCTCATGGACCTGTTCTACGATACGCTTCCGAGCAACATCACCGCAAAGCGAAGAATCCACTTCCACCAATTCATGATCGAAGCGCACAAGAGAGCTCACTTCTACAAGTCCAAGACGCACAAACCGTCCGGCATCGTGATGATGATGTCATCCGGCTCGTCCAACTCTGCGTCCAGCTCTGGCTCAGCTGGCGCGGCTCACTCGGGAGAGGAGAGCGATGCCATCGAAGCGGTGGCTCGCGAGATGGCACACAACCACTCGGTGCTATGCTTTGACGAGTTTCAAGTCACCGACATCGCCGACGCCATGATCCTCCGCGGTCTGCTAGAACGCATGCTCGCCTATGGCGTGGTCATGGTCATGACCTCCAACCGACATCCTGACGAGCTGTACAAGAACGGCATTCAACGACAATCTTTCCTTCCTTGCATCGACCTTCTCAAATCGCAACTCGGCGTCACCGATCTCAATTCCGGTACCGATTACCGAAAGGTACCTCGTGCGCTCTCCAAAGTCTACTTTTCGCCCTTGGACGATGCCAACACACGAGAATTCGACAAGCTCTTCGATGCGGCGACATCGGATCCACACGACCCCGTCATCTCAAACCGACCACTCAAGATCTGGGGCCGAACGCTGCTCGTCCCGCAATCCACCCAACGAGTCGCCCGCTTCACCTTTGACGAACTCTGCGGTCGTCCCCGCTCCGCAGCCGACTACATCGAGATCTGCAACAACTTCAACACCATCTTTGTCGACGACGTACCCAAAATGGGTCTCAACCAACGCGACCTCGCCCGACGATTCATCACGTTCATCGACGCAGCCTACGAGAGCAAGACCAAGCTGCTGGCGTCGAGCGAGGTGCCCATCTTGCAGATCTTCAGCGGCGATGCGGGCGAGTCGAAACCGACGGCTGCGGCAATGAGGTCGTTGATGGACGACCTCGGTTTGACCATGGACGACCTGGGTGGTTCGCCCATCTTCACGGGCGATGAGGAGCTGTTCGCTTTTGCGAGGGTTATCTCAAGGTTGACGGAGATGGGTTCGAGGCAGTACGCCGAGATGGCCAGTACCGCAGGTACAGAAGCACCGCCAGAGTACTAGAGCGTGCACGTCATGTACATCACATACAAGAGCCAAACCCGTCCACAACATGTACAACATATACACGCGCCAGTCACACACCATCCTCAACACCATCTTAACAACTCGTGACCCTTGCTTCGCTGCATGTGTGACCACAACCCCTAAACGCCCATGTGCTGCATCCATGCCAAGCTCGGCATCAACCTCTCTGAACCGCTCAGCTCAGCGACACCATACCGCCTGCACAGACAGCATCCTCAGCACCCTCACACATGGCGAGACCACGTGTGAAACAAGCAGATACCAATCAACATGAACCTACAACAACAATTACAAGTACGTAGAAAACGACAATTCAAACACGAAAATGCAAACGATCTCGAGAGAGGTGGTGGTAAAAGTACAAGAAAAGAACTAAGAGAAACGTGTGATCTTGCACCGCTCGCTGGGTATATTGTCGTCGGATGACGAAGCCGTTGAGAGAACCTAGTTGATCTCGTGGTAGAAAATGATCTTGTTGGCATCCGGGTCGAGCACATGCAACTCCCTCGTGCCCCACGGCTTGTTTTGCGGCTTGCCGAGCAACCTGCCCTTGCCCAAAAACACTTCGGGGAAGTACTCCCTTCCGTTCGGCTTGAATTGCTGTTGTTTGGCTACGATCTCCTGGAAGAGCTCGTCAACGTTGCTCACCACAATCAGCAACTGCGGTGGTCCGTTGCCATCCCCTTTGAGCTCGCCCCATTCTGCAGGAAGGTAGCGTAGCACGATGCGCACACCCTCTTCTTGAGCCGCCGAGGGGATTGCCGAGTATTGCTGCTGAGCCGATCGAGGTGGACGAGCGGCAGGTCCGCGTCGCATGACGGCTTGATGCGTGGCCGGTTTGCCAACGGGCGAGAAGCCAATGAGTTTCTGATAGAACGCTACCGAGTTGGTGAGATTCGAAACGAAGATGCATGGGAAGGCGTTCATGAAGAGCGTCTTGCCCGGCTTGGACATGGCACGAGCACGTCCGTGGTCGACGTCAACGTCGTCGTCCTCCCAGCCGAGAGCGTCGGACCGCTTGAAATTGAACGGATTGACCGAGAGCAAAGCAGCAGCATCGACGTCACTGAGGCCCATGTTGGTCGACTTGGGCAAGTAGGATGTATCGTCGGCAAACTTCTTCTTGCTGTCCTGGATATGCTGGCAGAAGCGTTCCTGGTCGGTGGGAGAGAGCACGAGCTTGGATCGGTTCGAGCGTGTTACGGAGAGGAACAAGTCGGGTTTCTTGACGTGGTTGGTGGCGTTGATGGATGCAGCAGCGGATGCGGTGATGGGATCGACAAAGTGAAGGGCGCCCACGTCTGCGACGTCGGGAGGCGTTGCAGGCATCGAGACGTCGTCCATGGCCGAGAATGTGTCGGATGCAAGCGCGGATGCAGCCATGGATGGGGACGAGGCAGCGCTGATGGGCGAACGAGACGAGCCGGAAGAGACGGCACGCTGCATCGATGCAGAGCCAGATGCGATGTCGGTCATGGTCGTTTCGAGGCGACCGATGGAGGCCTGTCGAGGCTCAGTCGTGATGATCACGATGCGTTTGCAGTGTGCCAGGTCGCTATGTCAGGTAGAGCGATGAATGCCGATGCGGTGAGGAAAGACCGTCAATGATGTAGCAGATCGACTCTGTTGCGCGTAGTGGTCGGCGGTAGTGAATGATGATGGTGGTCGTGTATTGTCAAAAGCTGGCCACCAAGAAGTCAAGTGCTGCGGACACGAGCTGAAGAGAGGTCAGGTCGGCATTCTCTACCGCAGACCGGCTACTGTAGTATGTTTGTGCGTGTGTAAGCGTGCGACGGCAAAGGAGTGGTTGGAGCTCTATAAAAAGTTGCTCAGATCAGTCTGCAATCGATACAGTGAGCGCGGACCGGGAATCTATGCAGCCTAAAACTGCGCAAGCATGCAGGGTGTTTGTAGACAGAGACCGGCATGAGCACACGTACACGTTGGCCAAACGCTTTCTTTTTTGGTCGTCGAAGCCAATTTTCTCGTTATGCGGGGGGACAAGCAGAGGAAAAAAAAGGTGCGGTGGCGTGCCGCCGCCGATAAGGATCTCCGCGAGCTGCTGCGACGGACGGAGGTGGCTTGCCGAGGCGGCCAATTTTGTCATAACTCGTAGCGAAGCCGTGAGCCTGCCAGCCACCGCGTTGGTCGGCACCTCTCTGTAGGACCCTGCTTTTCTGATTTTCCACCTTGTTTAGCCTTCGGCTTGAAATCCGATAGAGGTCTGGCGCCCAACATCTTTTTCCCTGTCTCAATTCCAGTGTAGCCCGCTCCTGTTGCGCCGCGCAGCAAATCACAGTACAGTTGCCTCTTGCTCCGTGGCTTTGTGACTCCCTTGGGGTGATCAGCACGAGTCGTCGTTATTTGGCTCTCTCCAACAGCATTTGTAACCTTCCCATGTACGATCAGTTCAAAGGACGAATATTGAAGCGCGCTCCCTGTTCTGAATGCAGCCTTTACAACGTCTGTGTGGGAAGATGCCACAGATCGCGGGCCAAAGCTTGTAACACGCTACACTCGCATGGACACTAAGCGAGGCTCGTACCGTCACCCAGTCGTTATAGCCTTTTGGGCCTTTTTTGAATGTGAGAGTCTGTCCCCCGGTCTAACAGCTACAAAATTTCGAATTCAGAATGCAACTCTCGTCAGATCTCACACCGCCAGAGAAAATGTTCTCGCTTCGGCGCAAGTGGTCGTATGGCGTGCTGAAGACGTCAAATGATGGTGTGTCCACTTGTGCGCTCCGTTACACAAGCGAAGCACGCAACTGAAGCCTTGCCTACTTCTCCAAGATCGCCTTTGTCGCTCAAATCGCCTGGTTCTACGTCAATCTCTTCTCGCTCCCAGGTTTGCGTGATCGCTTGGTCCTGTGTCTCCCGACTCCGCTGCTGCCGAAGCTCCGCAACGCCGGCTCTCAATCCAGCCGGCTGCACTTGCGGACAGTAAGCGCTCCGGCATGGCCGTTTCGCCCTGTCAAAAGCGAATGTCGAAGAGCAGTCATCGACTCAAGCGACACTCCGTTTGTTCCGGAAGAATGCTTCTACCGCGATGGCACCATACGCCGAGGTGCCAAGGTGTCCATGTCAATCGCTTCCACGAGGCGGACTCGGCAATGCAGCAAGCTCCACCGCTGCCCTGACTAAAAGAAGTCGGCTCGGAACATCTTGCACCATCTTGTCTTTGAAGTCCCACATTGTCGATTCGTCATTCTTGTCCGTGTGCGGAAAACCATTTGCACCAGTTTGAGAAGTGCGTATATAGTATCCTCTCTTTTCTCACTCCCATCATCTCTCCCTTTCATCACTTCTGCGCCCGCGATACCGCTTGCGCGCTCCCGCCTGTCAGCTCATCATGAGCGACGTCACGGCCACCTCGACCCCACCTCCCGGCAAGGCAGGCTCCTTCTCGGAAGCTCACGAAGTGCCCGACAACCATGTGATCGTCGTCGACACTGCCTCCCACGGCGAGGTTCGCTACACCCGACAGGAAGAGCGGCGTCTCGTGCGCAAGATCGACATCGTCGTCGTCCCCATCCTCCTCGTCCTCTACCTCTTGAGCTTCCTCGATCGAAGCAACATAGGTAATGCCAAACTCGATGGTCTCGTCGCCGACATCAAGCTCAAAGACTATTCCACAGCGCTCACGCTCTTCTTTGTCGGCTATGTCGTCGGTGAAGTGCCCGCCAACATTGTCCTCAAAAAGACCTCGCCGCCATTGTGGCTGCCCACGCTGACACTCATTTGGGGTATCATCTCGGTGGTTCAGGGCCTGGTGCACAATCAAGCAGGTCTCTTTGCAGTCCGCTTCTTCCTCGGTCTCAGCGAGAGTGGTCTCTTCCCAGGCTCGGTGTTCGTGTTCAGCATGTTTTACCCCCGAAGGGAACGACACTACCGTGTCGCCCTCCTTCTGTCGGGTGCTGCCGTCTCGGGTGCCTTTGGTGGCATCCTCGCTTACGGCATCGGATTCATGCGAGGAGTCGGCGGCAAGAACGGATGGTCCTGGATCCTGATCATCGAAGGTCTGTTGACCATTGTTGTCGCGCTTGCTGCCTACAAGCTCGTACCACACTACCCGATGAAATCTCGCACCTTTTCCGACCGCGAAAAGTCCATCATCGCAGCTCGAATGCAGGCGGACCGCGACTCGCTGGACGAGGAATCCTTCTCGTGGGATGGCGTCAAGCAAGCCTTCACGGACCCCTATGTCTACCTGTACGGACTGCTTTTCCACGGATTCGCATTTGCTCTCTACACCATTTCGCTCTTCATGCCCACCATCATCGCCGACCTTGGCTTCACTGCAGCCAACGCGCAGCTGCTCACCGTACCGCCGTACGTCCTCGCCTTCATTTTCACCATGAGCATCGCCCATATCTCCTTCGTCGTCAACCGTAGGCTCATTTTCATCATCGGCTCCGCTTGTCTCGCCATCGTCGGCTACATTGTCCAGATCACGTCGCCAACAGTCGCAGGTCGTTACGTCGCCATTTTCATCACCACTCCAGGCGTGTACGCCGGCAATGCGCTGCTGCTCTCGCTGCCATCCGAGAACGTCTCCGGCCAGACGAAGCGAGCGACAGCGTTGGCTATGCAGATCGGGTTCGGCAACATGGGAAGTATTGTCGGCGTTCAGCTCTACCGTCGTCCGCTCGGTGCACTCAAGAATCCTAACTACCACATCAGCCACGGCTTGAGCATCGTCTGGCTCGGCTTTGGTATTGGAGCTGCTTCCGCGCTGTGGTTCCTTCTCAGCAGAGAGAATCGTCGAAGGGATGCTGTACAGGCTAGCCAGGGGCACGAAAAGGTCCAGGAAGAGAGCCAAGATGAGCTCAAACGATTGGGAGATCGTCGCCTCGATTGGAGATACCATGTCTGATTGCACTTTTGTAGCCACATGTAGCATAGCATCACACGAAAGACCATCGATCATTGGATCAACAACGGTGTCGACTCTGCCACGAAGATGCTTTCATGGGCCGTGTGAAGCCCAGCGAGTAGAAATTGGTAACATGTTACGGCGTGAAATTGAGTGGCCCAAAATTCCATTCGCCTCCTCCACTTCGGCAAGTTGCCCGCTTCGGCCACAAGGCGCGAACGCATACGAAGCACTGAGAATTGGTGTGTATCGTGGTGGAACGTGAGCGGAGGACGCTTTCGACTTAGATTGCCAAACGTCGCATATGCTGAGGCTGCTGAGCATCACACGCTTCGCCCATACTACTCGTTGCGCTTCGACCAAGAGGCTCACCGCTCACCTTTCCGGCTTCCACCACCTCGTCCAGCCAAACGAAATAAAAATGGCATCCTCACTCTCCAAGGACGACCAGATCCAGAATCTGCGAAAACTGTTCGCTGACTCCGACGTCCCAAACGATCCGAAAGCATGGGACAAGGCTTGGGTCGACAGCACCACACCGTGGGACGCGAACAAACCTCAGCCCGCCCTGGTGGAGCTGCTCCAAGGTGCACACGATGCCGACACTCAGGTCCCTGACGCCGACGGCAATCCTATTCCCATCTCTCAAGCGATTCCCAAAGGTGATGGCACGGCAGTGGTTCCCGGTTGCGGAAGGGGTTATGACGCAAAAGTATTCGCCGAGCGTGGGATGACGACGTACGGTGTCGACATCAGCTCCGCTGCTGTCGCTGCAGCGAACAAGGTGAGTCCGAGCAGCTTGAAGTCGACACGTCGATTTGCCATTCACTCACTTCTGAACCTATCAACATGTCTCTTTCGTAACCTTTCAACAGTGGCTCGATGACCAAAATCTTTCTACTGATCTCGACTCGAGGGTCAACTTCGCCGAAGCCGACTTCTTCTCCCTCGGAAGCAACAAGAGCGTAGTATCGGAGCTGTCCAAGCCGGGGCAGGCAAGGCTCGCGTACGATTACACTTTCTTGTGCGCCATTCCGCCTCCACTTCGCACGCAGTGGGCCGAGACCTACACAAGACTTTTGCAGAAGGATGGAATGCTCATCGCTCTCGTCTTCCCCATCCAGGGAGACCGTCCTGGAGGTCCACCTTTTTCCATCTCGCCTCAGCTGGTCCGCGAGCTGCTCGGTTCGCAGAAGAACGCGGATTCGAGCGCTGCCTGGAAGGAGCTGGCTGAGTTGAAGCCCAAGGGACCAGAGACACGGCCGGATGTCGAGCGAATTATGGTTTGGCGACGCTCATGAGGTGCTCGATGCAGCTTGTTCTTCGGTCTGCGAGCGCAGGCTTGCGGCACCACTGAGCCGACGACCAATGTGACCTCACTCGTTTGTCTGTCTGGACTGGATGTGTGGGAGCGTGGGCTGTCAGACACATTCAGTCACTCGTAGCAATCTTTTCACGTACATTGATTGCATTTATTGGTTTGCGCTGGTGTGACAGCTTCATGTGAATAGTACAGACAAGAGCACCTCTTGTCGATGTGGATCGGAAACTAAGGCGTGGCTTCGTCGGCAACCTCAGCCGCGTCAGCCGCGTCTACATCGACCTCGTCTTCAGTCACAGCTTCAAGCACACGTCCCGCAGCGTGTGCTGCTCCCTTTGCGCCATCTCTTGCTGGCTTGTACAGGATATCGAGCATCCTCTGAATCGTAGCGAGGTCGAGGTTGCCATCGTCATCAAACTGAGCGTCCAGCTCGCCCTCGGTCCCAAGCTTCTTGCGCAATTCGTCTAGCGAGTCGGTCGCTTCTTGTCCAGGAACGAGAGCCGGGGCGCCTAGTACACCTCCTTCCGGAGCTAGCTTGTTGAACTTTGTCCTTGCATCGCTTCCGACTGCTCCTCCTACCGCCTTGTTGGATCGGTCGTTAGCGCCATACTTCGTCTTGGTCCATGCCGAGAGCGGTGAGAGTGCTGCATGTCCTCGGAAGTAGAATCGTGCTGCTTGGTAGCCGACCAGCAGAACCGTCGTTGCCAGCAGAATGAACAGGAGCGATTGAAGCTTCGACGAGTCTGCTCCGCCGCCGAGTCCGCGCGCTTTGCCTTTACCTCTGCTCGGTGGAGGTCGAGAAACGCCTCCTGTGGTTTCCAGAGCCCTCTTGTTGCGCTGTCTTGCTGCTGCTGAAGGCATTGTTCGAACTCCTAGGTGAGTCGATTTGCGGATTGTGGATGAGCGAGAAGCAGGAAGATGGAAGGCGAGCGTCGCTGTACCACAAACCCGCGACTCATGCAGCCTCCACGTCATAGTCGCACCGCGGCTAGTCATCCTCCCGACAACCGACTTTTTAGGGTTGTCTCCGTCCTTGGTATGGGGGCGGGCAGTTCACTTCGGCCAAAGCCGAACAAATTTGTTAAATTGTTAGTGATCTTCTCCACTTTCCTTCGGTGTCTTGAGCAGGACCCTGACTGCAGAGCTCTTTGCATGCTTTGCCTTCTTCCGCCATCCCATCATCTCCCGCACGATCTTGAACATGTCCGACCTTCAACGCTCGTACGTCAAGAGTAAACTCTCCAAGCTTCCGCCAGTCCCATCGTTTTCCGAAGCGGACGAAGAGGGAAAGGAACAACATGTCGTTGCTCCTGCAGCGATACCGCGTCTGTCTAAGCGCCAGCCACGAACGGACGACTTCTCTCCACGCACAGCCGAAGGCTACTTTGAGCAAGCACTAGAGGTGAACGTTCCGCTAGCTACTGGCTCGGGCTCTTTTCGTGTCTACTACACTCCACCACGGCCGAAGGCTGCGACACAGCCGAAAGCTACCGCCGCAAGAGCACCTGTACCTTTGGATCTCAGCGTCAACGTCGACTCTCCCTCCTTGCCGACGCTTAAACCTGGATTCGGACTTTCGACAGTTGAGGGCGACCTGGAAGATCAAGAGCTACCCGGCCCATCACAGCAGAGCGCTTCACCGAGTCCAGGAACGCTTTTCGTCTTTCACCATGGAGCGGGCTTCAGCGCTCTCTCGTACGCCTTGACGGCAGCCGAAATCACACGGACCAGCGGAGGGGAAGTTGGCGTACTCGCATTCGACTGTCGAGGGCATGGACGTACGCGGCTGCACGACGTCAACACGGACCCGCTCGACATGTCGATCGACGCTCTTTCTTCAGATCTGACCTCACTCCTGTCAACAATGTTTCCACGAACGGAAGAAATGCCTTCTTTGGTGCTTGTCGGTCACTCAATGGGTGGGTCTGTGGTTGTGTCTGCAGCACACGCTCTCTCGGCGAAAGGCTTCAATCGTATAACAGGCGTGGCAGTGCTTGACGTTGTAGAAGGGACTGCGATGGATGCACTCAGCGTGATGCGAAGCGTCGTGCTAGGTCACCCATCTGGGTTCAGTTCCGTAGAAACTGCCATCCGATGGCACGTGGATAGCAAGACCATCGCAAACCTCGAAAGTGCACGCATCAGCGTTCCGCCTTTGATAGCACCCAATCCTGCTTTCGCGCCCTCCAGCACTGTCGAATCTGGAGAACGGGACGAGCAGCAAGAAGTTCTCGACGACGTATCCTCAGATACCTCGCGGCCAGATCCCAAGCAACACGCCTATCGATGGAGAGCCGATCTTCTAGCCACCGAACCGTACTGGCCGGGCTGGTTCCAAGGCCTATCTTCGCGCTTCTTGAGCGTCAAGACTGCACGTCTGCTGCTTTTGGCAGGGACGGATCGTCTGGATCGAGAACTCATGATCGGTCAGATGCAGGGCAAGTATCAGCTCGAGGTGATTGCGGACGTGGGTCACTCGCTGCACGAGGACGCGCCTGAGCGCACCGCGAGGATCCTGATGGACTTCTGGAGAAGGAACGAACGCGTACATCTTCCGCTCAAGCATATCAAGAAGGTGGGCGAGGCGTAGGCTGGCGCAGTCGTTGCACAATGCATCGTTTTACTTCCACCGGACTCGTGACCGTTTTCATTGAAGACTGCGATTGGACTGAGGTATGCGAGCTTGCAAGCACAAGAGATTGTGAAGCGGGGTATCTGAGACAAAGAGGGACATGCAAGAAGTCGATCTAAAGTTTGGGACTCTTTATCGTTCCAGGTCTCGAAAGGGAGTCTCTTCCACCGCCAGTGGTGGCGGTATTGAAGCTGGAACGAGAGCGTCTTGTACCGACACCAGATGGCCTGTGATCGATGCTCGAACTCATCTGCTCCTCAGTGTCGAGTAGGTCCTCTTCATCAACCTCGTCGAGCTGCTCCCCGGCATCGTCATACCCTACGGCCACCTTTGCAAATGCATCTCGAATCCTTCGAATCGTCAAAGAGTAGGCTTCATCCTTGAGCTTTTCGGGCTCTGTCCCTTGCTTTGTCATTTTGTCCCAATTGTGACCTTGACCTGGCGCTTCCCAATGGACGACTGTGCCTCTAAACGCGGAGCTCGAGCCGAGTTTGTCGGCTAGCTTTCGACCTTCGCGAGCGAGCGAGTCTTGCTCCGCTGTAACGATGGTGACTGACGAAGGGAACGAAGCTGGATCAGCGTAGAGTGGTGAGATGAGGGGCTGCTTGCGATCTTTGACCTTTTCTATTGGAACGTAGAGTCGGTAGAGGATTTTGCGTAGCCACGGCGGGAGCTTGCCGCCAGCAGCGCCTTTCAGTGGTGTGAGCTGCGGCTTGGAGTACGGATCCTCGTCCAGGTTGGTGGATGGATAGAAAGCGACCACGGCTGCAACACCGCCGTGGTGTTCGGAGCGAGTGGAACCAATCAGAGCAAGGTTGCCGCCGGAGCTGAAACCGACGAGCGCCACACGGTGTGGATCCCACATCCATTCTTTGTGGCCTGTACCTGCGGAAGCGCCATGTCGGCGGCGCTGTTTGCGATTTTCGTTTGCGAAGTGTCGGACAAACTGGATCGCCGAATCAACATCCTCGACGGCTGCTGGCCAAGGATGTTCTGGAGCATGCGAGTAGTCGACGTCGATCACGATGGCAGGAAGCGAGCGAGCAGCGTACGAGCAGAAGCGGGCATCGTCGCCGTGGGTGTGAAAGCAAAACCCGGATCCGTGCAGGTTGACGACGATGGGCAGCGCTACGTTGTCAGGCTGGCCGGATGGCCAGTATATGTCTGCTTTGAGTCGACGTCGTTGTTCCTTGCGTGTGATCTTGCCGGGAACAAACGGAGAAGGAATGTAGGTCGTCACATTGGGCTTGGGCGCTGGCGATTGCTTGGGTGTGATGAGGGGTGTGACCACGGGCAAGATCGCCCGCAGCGTCTTGATGATGACAGCGTCCAACATGTGTTCATCGATGCGTAAAGATTGATGTGGTATAGAAGATAGACCGATCTAGACGAGGGTAGCATGCAGGGTCGATCGACTTTGCGGTCAAGACACTGGGAGTCGCGACAAGAGTTCCGAGACGCCTGACTGCTCGTCGAATAGCCATCGACACTACGGCACGCAGGGTCTCGAAGATCACGCGGCCTTTGAAATGCAGCAGTTCCGCTTCTGGCTCTGTACAACCGCTCGCACTGGAATGACGACTCTGTGACAGGCATGTCATGTGGGGGCGAATGAGAAAAAAAAATCGAGCCTGCAGAGCAGTCAGTGTGATTGCATCATAATTGTTTGTCCGACTGCAGAGCAGAGTCCAGACACGAATCGTCAGTCTCGAATAGTTTGAATCACGTCGGGGCGTAAGCACGGTGACTTGAATCAGAGGAAATTCGGAGGTCCATGAGGACGTAACATCTTTAAATATGCATTTATGAACCAAGTGTCAGATTTTTCCGTTGGCATGGCCCGCATGGACGGCTGGCGTCGCCAGCAGTGACACCAATGGTGGCCTTGGCGACGGTCGAGCTACTCAGCACATTTGTCGAGTTGCGCGAAAGATGGAGTGTACAAGCATAAGCTTTGGCGGATCAATACGTCGCAAGCCATGCCGCGAGGAATGTGTCAACGGCAGCGCGATCATTAAAGTTCGTGTAGCTTCTTTGCCTAACCAATCACCAAATGAACTTGCTTCACGGTTTGTGCGACAAAACCCAAACCATCAAAGAGAAGCCAGCGCTGATTTGAGTTGCGATCTTGTGGGGCATAAGTAAGCTCAATAGACTTCATATGCATGCCGTCGCTCAGAGCGATTGTGATCTGTTCCCCATATACCCTTTTACGTCCCTTCACACTATCAAGCCAGGCTCTTCTTGACCTGCTTCCCTCTCACCTATCTTACCGAGCTAGCAAACTCAAAATGGCCAGCAGTAACATGTGGTGTGACACGCGCAGACGCTGCCGCTCACTCTCTGCTACTCGGCGCACCTTGGTGCGCTGCTGCTTCGTCACTTTGGGGGAGTGCCGCACTCGATCCCGCTTCTTCAAAGCGTAGCATCTGTGCAAGGCTTTGACTCTCACCTGCGGTGGACGCAAAGATAGCGCCGATGACGCTGCTGCGCTCTCTTGCGCTCTTCGAGAACAGATACAAAAACCGTCAAGACGGCACTGCAGTATCTATCTCTCCTTGATCCAGTCCTACTTTGTCCAAAGCAGCTTTCGGGTCTCATTGTTCTTGACTTCAAGCGTCACACACATACGAATCCATTCCCCAGCCTGACTCCGGCCAAAACATGTCGGACTCGTCATCGGACTCCGACAGGAAGGTCGGAGGGATTGATATAGAGGAGCCCAACGCCAACCACCCGGACAACGTAGCTTCTCCAAACACCACGGATCGGGAAGTTCAGGAATTCTTGGACAGCTTGCCCGACGTGCCCTCTCCTCCCGAGTATCTTAGCACTCCGAGTCCCGTCAGCGAGGATCCAAGCGCACCCGAATATTTCCTCCGGGCCGAAATTTGCGAGGCGTTTATCACGTATTACAACATCGATTACCTCAGGCTCTACCCTGACCGGTGTGACTCTGCTACTCGTACGCCTTGGCAAGGCATCTGGTGTGACGACGACCTCATCGACGAGCTGTACCATCGCATCACCTGCTTTGTCGAAGACATGATCTGTATCGAGTTCAACAAGCCACCGGACCAGCAAACTCTGACCAACGATCACCTCAACGACTGGATGGACATCATCGTCTCGCGCAGCGTTCACGAGATTCGCGAGGCAGGTCACAACGTCGGGTGCCTCATCACTGACGATCCCTTCTCGGGATTCAGATGCCTCTACCGCAGACTCATGGACTATGTTGAGAATGAGGCTGTGGCATACAATCTCCCCAACATGTCACGTCCACCGACCCCGGAATCGACGGATTCGGGCAACAGCCTTTATATCTCCCAACCCACGCGTGTCGACGATCAAGAGCCGGACTCGGATGAAGACACTTAAGCAATGTAATTGACAGCACCCTGCACTAGCTGACGGTCAACTTGTTTCTGCCTAGATCGGACTAAACGCTGTTTTCGACCTTTCAACCTCTTCTTGTCTTCCAAAACTTGTACTCCAAACGATATCTGTACGAATAGTCAATCGTCAAACGTGTTCCTCAGCGGTTATGATGTCTTTTGATCAGGGTTGCTGATCCTCGTTGCCAGCTGCGCTTCAGGTACACAAGACAAAAATGCTTTGGATTGAGGCCAACACTGTGTATCGTCTGCGTCGATCCAAGTTTGCGGTCGTTGCAGGCATCGGACAGATGAACGAAGAGAGCAATCGGATCCAACGAAATCGGATCCAAAGAAATCAGGCACAGGATCTGAGCTGTCAAGGCAGTCCGGCCTAACATCGTTTCCACTTGTTATATCGTCGCCGTCGGTGTCAGCCGCGTTGAACAGAACTGGGCCGCTACGTGATCCATGTCGTCAGACATCATCATAGATGACGATCCCACATCGCACTCCTCCAAGCGAGTGATTGCCTGACAAAGATGTCGGTGGAGACGACGTGGTTCGTGCACGTTGATTTGGCGGTTCGCAAGTAACAGTGTTCGGCGATCCAGACCGTAGGAAGTACAGACACTGGTCTAGCCTTTCCTATCGCAGCAGGAATGAGCTAGCCTCCCCGGTCCACAAATACGTCTGGTACAAACGCCACCGTACTGCGACAGAACGAGACAGGTCAAACAAGCACCATTGATGGAGAGTCACAGATTTGGCGAATGACGACGGTATGACAGTGATTAGAGAAGCGAGCTGATCTGATTAGCGTGAAGCGACAGGTGAACGTGCCCATTTCGAGTCGCCGGAATGCTCTTTGGCGAGCACATGTCAGCCGAGGCTCTAGCACACTTAGACTCGGTTCACTCATGTCGGTCGCCACTCTCGTTTATCTTTGCCTGTGGGGACGACTTCCGACCCCGCTGCACCATTCCTCGTCGTGCGATCAACCAACTTCGTACCATATCTATCGCCCGGCCAACATTGCTGCTTGGAACCAAAAAATCGGATTGGTCTCGTTTCATTTCCGGATCGTGCAGCTCGACAAACTCGCTTGGCGAGACAACCCTCGCGATACAGCGGGAAGCCTATTGCGTGTCCGCCGTCGTCGTCATCGGCCAACTTGTAGATACAGTATGATCGATTTCGGTACTCGAGTCTCGGGGAAAGTATTGGATGCCCCATCGAGGGATAGAAACAACGAGAGATATCGGGTGCTTAGGGTGTTGCGTGCTGAACGACTTCACACGCCTGGCAAGAGGTCAGCCACGAGAGCAAGACGGAAACAGTCCACCGTCGTGTCGGAGCACGAGCATGCTTGCTTCCACGGTCCATGCAGGTACATTCCTCGAGCTGCAAGGTCGGTCGTGCGGCAAGAGGATTTGAACCGCTTCGCCAACGGGCCGGGCCAAAGAAACAGTTCGGACGCGACCGAAACGTTTCAGGTCTGCATCGGCCAACGTTTTGACCGGCAAGTTGTCGCAAGAACACACGGCTTGACGTTCGTACCTACGGCGATCAAGGTATTAGCGATCTTCCGTTTGACTCCGACACCACGCGCAGGTTTGCGGTGGTAGCGAAGAAATCTTGGCTGCTTACTAAGTCGCAATTCATGGCATCGCAGGTAGAGCCCATGAGACCACCATTGAAAGCTAGTAAGAGGGAGTCGCCGCTTCCTGCGGTCATTCGCGTGCGGCACTTCGACGAGCCAAAAAGTCCTGGGTGTCGCATCGCAACATACGGGGAGGCGCTCAAATCATGGTCATCTCGAGGAAACCAAATTCAAATTCGACCAGGCCGTCGGCGAGGAAGAAAGAAGGTTTGATGTTCGACGTCGCTCGACCACGAAGTCTTGAGGTTGGTAAAGTTACGGTTAACGGACTTGAGCGCTCAATGGCAATCGGAGCCTCGCTTCTGCACGTCGAGCATGCCAAGACTTGCCACTTGCAGCTCTACCATTGCACACTTCCTATCCGCACTTCATTCGATTCTGATTTGACTGCACCCAAATCGATATCGGTCGAGCTTACATGCTTCTCTTTACAGCCGCTGAAAGCAGGTCTGTACTGTACGATCATCAACACGATCTTCCTCGTATTAATACCAAGGTGGCGTGTTAGATGAGTTTAGATGTGAAAAGGTGCCTTCCGACCCCGCTGATCTGGTGCGACCCACAACTGAGACTCAGAGCCACGCGCGAATCTTTCAGCCAATCAGAAAGCGCGAACCAAAAACGTGTTTGGTGCGGAGTGCAGAAAATGCGAAATGGAAATGCATCTCGAAGAACGTGGACACTGTGCATGAAATCTCTGTGGCTGTCGAAAATGTCGGGATCCGCGCGGTCGAGATCAACACCCAGACTTCCATACTTGACCGAGTGGCCCTGTGTGGCCACCGTCAAAGCCTGGCCATTGCCGTGCCTTCGAGTAGATGGCACCTATCACGGCGTCGTGCGACCTCGGCATCGAGCAGCGAAGGAATGGATGGAGCAGGCGGAACTCCAGATCCAGTCCACACGGACTGCCAAGAACGTGCGACGATATTCAAAATGTTTTTTCGGCCAGCATATCTGAAGGTCGACTTGCTCGAACGGGCTTGTCCACCACTCTCCACGCTGGCTGCTTGTCTTGCACTCTGCGAGTTGTTTGTGCACGTTCCCTATGTCTCCCGCGGTTGGTTGTCGCCGCCGCTTTTGCCCGCACTTACCGCACAAGCTTGAACGATACCGCGGCCACTTGATTGCCGCCGTTCCACCAAGCGAGAAGCCATGGTCCGTCGGAATCGCTTTCGTTCACAACAGTCAGGCATGTAACAACGTCTCCATGATAACGCAAGTCTTTGAGCAGCAACTCGGTTAATCGAGTGGTGCTTCGGCTGCCACATGCACGCACCACCTAATTGGGGCTCTCATATTATATTCGACAGAAGGGGCTCGCGAAATCGGATTCTTTGCTAGGAGCCTTGATTTGTCCAGTCGGTACGAGCCTCGTGCAAATTTCTACAGCTGCAGGTACCATGATTCTTGGGCCAGAAGTTTTTTGTTTCGAGGCAACGGAAGTGCAGGCGAGAAACAGTGGAGGATCCACAACGACGCCGAATCCGTCGTTACATACAGCGGCGGCGGCTGACCCAGAAGTCGATCTTCCTTCCGCGGTCGTCTTTTCGTCTCGCCACAAGTCCTATGCTGGTATGCCGGTTCCACAGCGGGCTCGTTGACCGGAGTCTAGAATTTGTGCTGGGTGGAAAGAAAAAAACTTTTTTTTGGCAGCTGCCCGACCGGCACGGACAATTTTGATCCGCATCCACTGGTTGACCTCTACGCTCTCAGCCGAAGGGGTGCGTTGTTTCAAGCTCGAGTTTGAGCGGCACCCAGCTTTCGCCGACGGCCTATCGCTTGAAACGTGTTCCTGTTTCGCTCGCCGTGTGGTTGGTTCATGAATTCGTCGTGCGTCTGTGGGTCGATGCGGGCACCACCTGCAGCCACGGACGGAATCGACGGTCTCATCCCACCAAGCCAGGAAGTCCGTTCGCAAAAATTGCAGGGCGTAGGACGCACTTTGCCTGCGCGACGAGGTCTCACCTGTCTTCCGAAGCATTGATACAAAGCTCAACAGCACCCTCAGCCACTCAACAGATCGAAACCTATATCAGGTCGGACCTTCTCATCTTCTTCCCGCCTTTCCTATCATCATCCTATCAAGATCATCAACTTCATTTTTCCCCTCCTCCTTTCCTTCACTCTTCAACTTCGACGTAAGAGTATCAACCATCATGGCTTTCGGTAAGGACTTGGACGCCTGGGCCGGCGACACCGGCCTTGCCCTCGTGGAGAAGAACGAGAAGAGGTCGCGCTTCGCCGTCTCGTGGGCTGAGGCCAAGCTTCTCACCATTGCCGGTGTCGGTTTCCTTATGGACGCCTGGGACCTGTTTATCATCAACATCATCTACTCGATCATCCTGCTTGCTTACTACAAGAAGGGAACCAAGAACATCGACTGGGGTCTCGAGGGTGGTGTGCTCAAGGCCGCTGCCAACATCGGTAACATTGTTGGTCAGCTTTTCTTCGGTTTCTGCGGTGACATGTTCGGTCGTTCGGCTGTCTACGGCAAGGAGCTCATCATCGTCATTGTTGCCGTCATCCTCCAGATCTCGGCCCCCGACAGCATCGGCGGCCACGGCATCACCATCTGGCTCGCCGTCTTCCGTTTCATCATGGGCATCGGCATCGGTGGTGACTACCCTATGTCGGCCACCATTGTTTCGGACCGATCGCACCTGAAGAACCGTGGTTTCCTCCTCGGCTGGATCTTCTCCAACCAGGGTTGGGGTAACCTCACCGGTGCCATCTTCGCCGTCATCGTCATTGCTGGCTACCGCCACTACGTCGACGCCGGCCACGTCCACAAGCTCTCGGGTGCTTGGCGTATCCTTCAGGGTCTTACCCTGATCCCCGCCTTCATCGTGCTCTACTTCCGTCTCACCCTTGTCGAGTCGACCCGTTTCACTCAGGCCCGTAAGCTGCAGGACGACCCCGAGCTCATTGCCAAGGGTCACAACAACCTCAACCGCGCCAACTCGGACGAGGACGACCTCACCAAGGAGAAGCTCGGCGGCGACATGACCCCCATCGAGAACACCGCTGTCGGCATGTCCTTCAAGTCGATCGGCAAGCCCAAGAACGAGTTCATCCAGTACTTCTCGCAGTGGAAGAACGCCAAGAAGCTGTTCGGTTGCGCCGCCACCTGGTTCCTTGTCGACATCACCTTCTACGGTATCAACCTCAACCAGTCTTCGATCCTGTCTGCCATCGGCTTCACCAACGGCTCCACCTGGGGCAAGCTCATGAAGACCGCCACTGGTAACCTGATCATCACCGTCGCTGGTTTCCTGCCCGGTTACTTCTTCACCATGTTCACCATCGACATTGTCGGCCGCAAGCCCATCCAGATCATGGGTTTCACCATGAACGCCCTCTTCCTCGGTATCCTGGCCGGCAAGTTCAACTCCCTCCGTCACCAGACCGGCCCCTTCTTCGTCGTCTTCGTCTTCCTTCAGCTCTTCTTCAACTTCGGTGCTAACGCCACCACGTTCATCGTGCCCGCCGAGGCTTTCCCCACCCGTGTTCGTGCTACCGCTCACGGTTTCTGTGCCGCTTGCGGAAAGTGCGGTGCCATCTTGTCGTCGCTCTTCTTCTCGTACCTTGCCAACAAGACCAAGCTCGGAAACCAGGGTGTCTTCTGGATCTTCTTCGGTGTCTCCGTCCTCGGTGCCATCGTCACCGTCCTCTTCGTCCCCGAGACAAAGGAGTACGATGCCGACGAGGAGGACCGCAAGGAGCTCGCTGCTCGCGCTGGTATCCAGTAAGCAAACTTGTCACTTGCTTTCTACGGACTTCCCGCACTTGCTGCATCTTCCCTAGAACCCCGTCTATCACATCGTCACTTTTTACTTCACCAGTCATTCACACAAAAAGTTTCCTTTGGACCATGACGTCCATGTATATCCCCTCGCACATTACGCGAGCCAGTTTCTTTGCGTAGGCTCCTGGTCTTTGTTTTCTAATCGGGTTTTCAGTGTCAATACACACTTTCGTATCACAACCACAAGCCGCGTGCACTCAGATCTGCTCGACACTGTTTGACTCGAATGAGCATTGAGCATCTCGACCTCCCATACGAAGCGACAAAGTCCGCCTTCTCGTACAACCCGCGCGATCATCGACGCCACCGCCGAGCTGTCAGAAATTGCCCGCGGCGCGGTGCTTCCGATCTGACACAAATGATTTATGAAACAGTTCGAAATATTTCTTCGATTTTGACTTTGATCTCACAACTCGAGAGGTTGAAAATCTTAAAATTGCTTTTTTTTCGTTTCGGTCTTACATTTTGAGACTAACACCAGAAATCACCGACAAATATCCCGCTTGCGCGCCGCAGACCCGGGTGTGCGGGATTTCACACGCATCCGCAAGAAATAGGTTGTAGATAGGCAGTACATCTAATGCACTGTGATGCCTCCACACAGCCACCACCTTGCGCAACGTGCGCCTCTTCCTCGCTCGCCTCGTACAACCTCCGTCCCACCTTTCGTCCGTTTTCTCTTTTCTCTCTCTCTCTCTCTCTCTCTCTCGTCTAGTTCGACATATTCACTTCTGCACGATGGAGGACCCAGTCAACGAGATTCGTGGCGTCGTCAAAGGACTCGTCGCGGCTAGGAATGCGTCCGAGCAGAAGTACTGCATGCAAAGGTACTTTGCACCCGATGCTTCGTTCGACCATCCGCTTTGCACAGTGACGAGCGGTCCCAATTCGAGGGACAACGGCATCCTGCCCATCTACCAGTGGCTGCGAGTCATCTCGAGGTCTGACATCGAAGTTTACGCTGCTGGCTTCGACCAGCAGACGAACAAGCTGTGAGTAGCGTCAATGTCGTCGTACGGAAAAGCTACAACTGTTCCTGACCTCCTCGCCTCTCGCTGCCTGTCCTTTTTGTCTGATCTTTTTACCTTCCCTCAGCTTCATCGAAGCGGTCCAGACACTGCGACCCAACTTCCCCATCGTGCGAGATGTCATCGCCAAAGACGCACGCATCGTCGTAGCTCTTCAACTGCAACGTGGCGCCGATGGCAAGTTCTACGTCAAGAGTCAACAGGATCTCTATGCGCCTCAAAAGTAAGTATCGCTAGTGCTTCAATCTGCCGTCGGAATCGTACTGATCTTTCTCGTTTCATTGTTCTGCGCATCACAGCCTGCCATTCGGTCTCGTCCCGGGCGGGGAAACAGCAACGATGTTGGTCAAGAAAATCGCTGCCCTCAACTGCATCATCTTTGTGGGCATCGTACAGCTGCTGTTCGGATACTGGACGCCGGGGAAGGATGTTCTTGGCTCGCATCTGAAACGCAAGTAGACCCGCACCAGCGATACTTCAATGCGATTGTCAGCCAGCTTCGATACCATCAAGGTCGCTTTGACATGTGCACAGACCACGACACGGACAGCGGAATGAGATCGGATGCAGAGGTGGATGCAAAGGGTATAGCTTAAGACATGAGGATACGAAAAGAGGCAAACACACGAAAAACAGCGATGCGATCGCATTCACCACTGGATCTTCCTGTCCTTGCCGCCAAAGTACTTTTCGATCAGACCTTCGTAGTACGGCCTCAACTCTTTCGCATCAGGAGGAGAGTCCGACTTCGAGTAGAGATCGTACGGGTTGAAAGCGAGTACGTTTTCCAACGCCTTCTCGTCCTCCGCATCACAGAGGTGTCGATAAGCACCTTCTCTGTGCCAAGGGTAGAAGCTGTGGTAACGGATCATGTCGAGCGCTGCTTGGGGTAGCGTCGATTCGCGTTTTGCGATTTCGTACAGGTACTCGTCGTGGCCGAAGCTGAGCATAACGTTGCGCAAGCCACAATTGGGTTGGTAGATGCCGTATTTGGTGTTGTAACGCTGGTCGCGGGAATCGGGGTTGTTGGCGAAGGTGTGCGGGTACACTGTTCCTTCGGGAGCACATCCGACGACAAACGTGTCTCCGACAACGTCCCATTGACCATCAGCACCAAAGAAGCAGAGTAGCTTTCCGAGATCGTGAATGAGTCCCGTCAGCTGCATCCAGTCCGGTTTGCCGTCTCTCCTCATCGCCTCGGCCGTCTGCAGCAAGTGCTGAATCTGGGACAGAGAGGTATCGGGATCGGACTCATCCACCAAAGTATCGAGTTTCTCGATAGCTTCCCAAACAGTCATGGATGCATGGTGGTTGTGGAGGAACCGCTCGCGAGCGGCAATGTTGAATGCAACCGTCTGCTTTTCATGCTGCGTCTTGTAGAAGGCTTTGACGTGATCGAGGGCGTCTTCGTAACGACGAAAGTCGGTCTTGTCCTTTTCAGAGTCGAAGCGGGATCCTTCGGTCCGCCATGTTTCGTCGTCGTCGCAGTCAGACGGTTGAGGTGCGGAGGGGTGCGTGCCGCGGTACACGTTGACTTCGTCGACCATGTCCGAGATGGCGTCCATGGCTGTGCCTTTGGATGTGATAGACGGGGCGATCTTGCTGGACGGCGTGGAAGCCACGATGATGGGCTCGATCGCGATCGGTGCCATGGTGATATGAGATGCTATGCTGTGATTTGCTGTGCCAAGGATGGAAGAATCTGATGGTAGGAGCACCGTTTGTGGGAAGCGAGATGGCAGGAAGGACGGACGTCGGACGGTCTACCTATATCTGCTTGAAGGCTCTGTTGGCTCTCTTTCCCGTCACATGTCCGGTCGTAGAAGCATGAGATCAGCGTTCCAGAAGAGGCTTCCTCTCGTCGGATAGCAGGTACACTCGCCGCAAGCCTCAACAAAGTTTTTCTCCATTCCTTCATCTGTTCATCTGGAAAGGGACGGCCGGCGAATTCGGTGGTTGCTCGGTAACACAGTTGATTACATCGGGACTTGCGCGGGGTGCAGACTGCGGCGTGGACACATATGAAGGCATTCCTGTTAGGACACCAGCCGCTTGCGACCCCGAGCTTGCTGGAGGCCGTGCAAGCACCGACGCGGCGCTGACTGACAGGCGGTCCGTAGAGAACCAGGAGATCGGATGGAAATCCACATTGCCGACTGGCTGGCTTGATGCTCGCAGCGCAACGGGGACAGGTGCATACCGGTCAACATTTGCTCGAGGTGTGCACAGCGTCATGCGACATGGGTGACATTCTTTGCGTCGGTCCGTTCGACAGCAGCTTGACCGACTTTTAGCTCGCCGTGTCAACACCGAGGCGGACGTCAGGCGGCTTTTCAGTCTTGGCAGCTCGCCGAAAATGTACCGATCCCCCGATGCCTAGCGAGTCTAACATCGCTCGCTAGTTCGCAGCGGGTCAATTCACCGAGGACCGTCAAAAAACAGCTAATTATCCCTTTTGCAAAATTACAGAAAATTGCGGTGTAGAAAAGGTTGGCAAGAATAGATCAGCTCAAAAGTCAGGCTACTCATGGCTCTTTCTGCAGCCACGATCCTTCCCGACTTCCCTCCTTCCCCACATTCTGTGTACGGTCTTCGAGGAAAACGATTGCGATTGATGCGGAAAGCCGCTGTGTCGATGTGTTAAGTGGCTCGACCGACCATTATGTTACAGAACTAAGAACGAGATGCGCGAGTGAGTGAGAGTAAGAGACTGCCCTAGATGTACATGAGACAAGAGAAAATGCATGCGAGTGAAACAGAACGACAAGGTGAAAACAAAGGGAGCACGCCTGGTGTTAATGGCAAGGCGTCGTGCCTGGGTATCTGAGGAGGCAGTGTCGGGAAGTGTGTACCTGGTGTTAATGGCAAGGCACCGTGCCTGGGGTATTGTAGATCGTCAAAGTCGTAACAGAGGTGTGTCTAGTGTTAATGGCAAGGCACCGTGCCGGATTTGTTGGTTAGGTTTCTAGATGTAGGAAGAGTGCTCGACGGCTCAGCGACAGAGCAAGCATCTCAGGTGGTCAGATCGTATGATGCGGCAAAGTCAGCGGCGAAGGCCGATTCGGTGCATGAGTTCGTCCCACACAAGGGCTTTCTCAGCTGCGGCGCCGCCAGTCATAATATCGCCGTTTTCGAGGGCACGACGGATCAGATACGGCAGTGTGAGCTCGAGTGGTCCATAAGGAATGTACTTGAGCACCATGTGAGGTCCCACACCGCCCGAATTGGCGTCAAAGGCCGCCTGGATTCGCGCGGTGAGGACCGAGGCCATGCCGTAAAGCTGAGCGAAAAAGATGCGTCCGCGCACCGACTCTTGCAGCTGCAGGTCGACCAGCGGCACTTGCTGAAGCAGCACGCTCCGATCGATCGCCGGATGGGCGTCCTTGGTAGCCTGGAGCAGTGCCGGCGCCGGTTTGGCCATGCCGAGGCGCACCATCTCGCGGATCACTTTGAGCGACGACTGTGTGTTGTGGCTGGCAAACACGACGGCGAGGTTTGGTTGTGCGTTCTTCTTGCCGGCGCGGACGAGATCGTCGTGCACTTCTTGAACGAGGCGGATGGCACAGCCATCATAACATCGATCGGTGAGATCCTTGTTGGGCCAAACGGGGCTTCCCCACCCTTCGTAGGCGGCCGCGTCGGCGCCCTTGCCTGGAATCGGAGGCGCATCGACAATCTTATCGGACCAGATGCGGTTTTCAATGTCAACATAAGCACCGCGCACGAGCTTGACACCGAGCGTGTATCCGTTGAGCTTGGCGCGTTCGAACGAAGCGGCTAGGTGCGAGGGTGTTCGACGAAGGTAGGCCTGGAACGTATTGTAGACCAAAGGCCCCGTGACGCTTCCCTGAGGAGCATCGTTTGATTCTTTGGCGGGTCGGTTGTACTCGGCGGCGATGGCCTCGTACATGGCGTCGATGGCAGGTTGATACCAACTGTACTCGGCGTCGATGGCGAGCCGCACGCTGCCGTGCTGCTTGGCTCGTTCGGCGACTTCGCGAAGCGCTTCCCAGAGCTGCTTGAGCGCGTCGACGTCCTTGGGCGTCAGCGCAGCAATGGGGATAGCGAGCCCACCACACGGACCCTTGCCGTTGATGCTGAGCGGCGGGAGCGGCTCCGGAGGCGCACTGAACCATTCTCTGGGAACGATGGCAGCGGACGCACGCTCGAGCACCGACGAATCGTAGAGCAAACCAGAAAGCTTGATGGCGACAAATGTGCTGCCGGATCGGTCGGGACGGACGGCCAGCTCGGCAGCTTGTTTATTATCGACAACGCCATGCGAGGCCGGCAGCGATGCCAACCTAGCCGAGACGTCGATGCTGTGCAGTAGCTCGTCGACGAAGGGGCGGTGGACGGCAGATTTGGATGTCTGCGCTTCACCAGCAGCTTTGGCAGGCTTGCCATCGTGGGTGACCTCAACAGAGAAGTTGAGCATGGCACCAAGGTTGTCGCGAGAGAGCGAAGAAAGCAAAGGCAGCGAGCCCTCGGCAGTATCATCGCTGATGAATTGGCGGAAAAAGGTGCGACGGATGACGTACTCGGTGACAGTCCAAACGAAAGGCAGCGACGTGTTGGAGGACCATTCGATCAGGGACGGCCCGACCTTGGCGAGGGATGAGAAGGAGCACAGCGTAAAGACGGCGTAGTTGGTGAGCAGCATCGAGACCGGTTGCGAACGGAGAGGTCGATAAGGGCGATGGCTCTCGTCTTCGCGCTGCACATCTTGCTCGTGAGCTCGAGCGATCGATTTGACTCGTGCTGATTGCTGTCCGTCGAGATGAAGGGGGTCGGCAATAGCCAGGGTCAACGCGGCCAGAGCAGTGGCACCGATCGCTGCACGGACGGCACTGATACCCGAACCATTGATCCTGGCTGGCTGAGCGCGATTGAAGGAACGAGCGTGATGAGACGCCCAGCGCCTTCCGGCAAAAGCAGCATCACTGAGGCGTTGTTGGTATCGAGGCGATGCAAGCTCGCCGATGGAGCACGTCGTCGAGGCTTCGGATCGCCATACGGATGACCGTGCCAAAACTTGAGCGATGCGACGGTGGTGCGGCATTCCTCGCAGACAGTGTCCACCTTCCGATGCTGTGCACGATGCGAGATGGAGGTGGGAGGGTGACGAAAGGAGCGTCCGACAGCGTCGATGACAATCAAGCTCGCGAGGACCGATGAACAAGCAGCCGACGCCAGAGCTCGAGGGGGAAGGGGGAGGGGGCAGGGGAGAGGGG